AAAGAAGGCGAAAAGATAGAATAAAAATTTTTCGTTCCAGGCTTTGTTTTCGAGAAAATCGACTTTGAATTTTCGCTCGGTACGCGTCCACTTTATCGCGTCTCGTTATAACGGATCTCACTGTAGATCGTTGTCTCGATGGAAAAATTAAAAAGAAATTTTTATTCTATATTTTCGACTTCTTTTTTCGCGTAGAATCACCCCCTTTCCGCTTGTACCACCAGTTACCAACCACCCTGTATAATAAAAAATATATAATATATTATAATATACGCTTAGGTATAATTCTTTCGGCCGCCACTAAAAGGGTTAATGATCGAGGAATGGGACGTCTCTCCTTAGCACGTTGACTGACACGTCACCCGTATTCGGGTGACAGCAAAGTTTCTGATAGGGCCGCGTATTCGGGTGACGCTTATTTGGCTACTCGAGAAGGATCGCCGTAGGTATTTGAAAAGATATTCCACAGGAAGTAATAAAACTATTGAATTGTTGTAAGAGTAATACGAAAATGGTTTATTAAGAAAATTATTTAGAATGTAAAAATTCGAAGCATTCTATACAAAGCTGAGTTTGGTCGGGACAAATTGGATAACAAGTTATTGTTTTCTTTAAATTCTCCCGTGTCTGATCCGTCCGTTCGACGTCTTTTATCCGCATAACATAGTTTGCACGCGCGTCGAATGTTTCTTCCGGAATTATTTTTCCGAACGGCGATATTATGCTGACTCTTCTTCCGGAATTAGTTTGCACGCGCGTCGAATGTTTCTTCCGGAATTATTTTTCCGAACGGCGATATTATGCTGACTCCGTCGAAGACAAGGATTTTTTGTATTTTCAGACAACCCTAATAATTTTCCAGCTAATAATTCTCTAAATCTTCTAATATTTACGTTCTTCCTTGTTGCAATCTTCTGATACAAGCAAGTTTATTATTTCGTCATCAACGACCAGCTCAAACACATCATATGGATTGACATGGCCAGGTAATTGCCTAATGAGGCCGTCTATCTTGGGGAAAGGAAATGATTTCTGCCAACCACTAAATTCATTTCATTCATCAAATTGAATCGTACTTTCCTCGGTATCATCAGTTCTTCTTTCTTCCTTAATGACCAATTCTTGTAAAATCTCGTCAACAGTATCTTCGTTACGTTCAATGTCACTACGATTACGCTTATCAATATCCGAATCAGAATCAGACGATGTAACTCTATTTATATCTTTATTTCTAGGAAATCTGATTTCTTCCTCATCGCTGCTATCCGAATTTGTATAATCCTCGTAAAAGCCTTCTTCTTCACTGCTATTTGACTCACTAAGAAATAAGTTCTCCATTTCTCTTTTCGACATTGTAACGAATTAGAGTATAGATTTTAAGTTCTCTAAAATATCGATGGGAGTACCTGGCGGAGTACGCTTGGTACAACGGCACTCATGGCCCGAAGGAGATTTCATTGAAAATACGCGCGGCAGTCAACGTGTTAAACTTATTGCTCCACCGCCTATGTATTCGAATAGGTGAGTATAAATTCAGTTATACGAACATTAGCTCCTATCACCTATACGAACGAAGAAACGATAGTGGAAGAGAGAGTTAGTGGGCTCCTATTATCCGAACGATTCAGTTATCCGAATCGCCCTGCTTGTCCCGAACTGCGTTACTAGAAACAGGGACAAGTTCGTCCCTCAGGTTCCCCCACTACCGTTCTATTCTCCTCGTCGCGTCTACAACTATCGTTGTAGTTGTATGCAGACTGTCGGCTAATGGCGGCGGGAGAGGAGAGACGGGTGTACAAATAACGTTGCGTTGTATAGACGCGACGCGGAGAGACGCAAGAGCGAGACATGCGACGTAGGGGTAGAGTGGCAATGGTAACGTCGGGGGACACTTGTCCCTGTTTCTGGTAACACTGTCATCGAACGGTTTTAATAACTGCCATTGTACTAGCATATAGTTTTACTCGTGTTAATATTCGAACACATAAATACGTAAATAATTTCCTCCTAACAATAACGTATAATCGTACGATAGATTTTTACCGCAAAAATTATCTTGTTTTGCACTTTTATTTTCATGTCGCAACAGCTTTATCATGTTCTGTATTTTTAATTATTTTTTATGTTTATTTTATCTGATAACAATTATTCGTAATATTTTTCGTCCTTACTTTCACAACGAGTATCTTTAAATTCCATTAGACACGTTTCAGATAGAAACAGAACATAAAATTATGCATCTATTCGTCTCGTCTCTTTTGTATTCTTTGATCTGTTTATTTCATTATTATTATTATTATTATTATTACGAAACGATTTTAATACAGTTACATAAGATGAAATAAACATCATGATGATTATCTTTATTATAGAACAGGACGTTGTTCCTTATGTAACAATGAAATGTTTTTTATCGAAGTAAATTCAGTTTTTTTCTTCGTTAGATTTTATTTCTGAAGAAATGAATTCAGATTCGTTTTATAGATTAATAACGATATTATTCGCTAGTAATACTTTATATTTTTGTAATTTTTATATAACTATCAAGAAACAGTAATTCCACGATTTTAAGTAATTATATATCGCTCATTTACGTTACGTATCAAGCAATTCTTATTCTACAAAAATGAAATAATCTTATTTATTTATGTTCAATGCAGCCTTTTTTATCTTCATATTTGACCGAAAAATCTCTCAACGTTTTTAAATTCTTATAGCTTATTTCCTTCCATTAGTATGTATTATGTATTCGGAACTTATTGACTTGCAAATTAATTCGTAAACTTAATTAATCCGCAGAAAAGTAAAATTATTTCGAGGGTATTGACATCGAATTTAAAGTTAAAGCTATGATACAAGAATTCACTATAAAACAGAGTAAATTCTATAGTAACTGAATCTCCTGTCGCGTGCACGAAATAAATAATCGTTTAGTGATTATCGCAATTATAATGCAATTATGATAACCCCATTTGTCAGTATGTAATTATCCATTCATATTATAAATGAATTAACTCTACACAGCGAATTGAATGAAATACGTTATTTTACCTGTTCACAATGGAAATGTCAGTTGTGCTGACATTATTCATTCTTCCTTCTTGCAAATCGGAATGTCGGTTGTGCTGACACACTGTTTCGAGTCTCACAAACGTATCTCGCTATATGCATGCGAAAATACTTCCTTTTTAGTTAATGTAATGTACTTGACAGTGTAATGAAAATTATTTCCTCGCAAAGTCAAACGAATCTCCCTTAATTTTCATCACATTAAGTAATTATTAGTAAAACTGTATGTGTTCAAATAAAATCGTTAAAATTAAAGAGGCTTATTTGTTCGAAATTGAATAATTGTCGAGACAAAGTCGAAAATATGAATTTTATATTTAAAACTACTAACGAGATATATTTTCCACTATATAGGTGGTTCATGCTAGTTAGTCTGTAATTTTCAAAGCGTGTTCGAAATATTATTTATTTCTTATATTTCTTTAAGTATTGAATTATCGACTTTCTGATTAACATTGCTCAACAAGCGACTTAATGTTTCGAAAAAAAAAACTTTATCGAACAGCGTCAAAAAGTTTCTCGCCTGCACCGAACATAACGTTTTTACGTACGTTGATATTGCTACAAAATGCGATAGCCAACGAATATTTTGATAACGGCATTGTTAACGGCCACGTAGTGACCAGGGACGTGCCCTAAAAGTTATGAAATTTTTATAGTCGGAAGATGAGACATTAGATTTTAATGCGCGAGCAGTAACGTATTTTACAAATACAAATTCGCAGTTACGTCGTTATTGCATTGGAATGGCGATATGCCTGAGTCATAGCTTATCTTTCTCGTTATACGCGTCACACGCATATGACGCGCTAGTTGCTTTCTACAGCCCTCAGCGTCACACGTATGTAGACTAAAAGGTCTAAAAATCGCTTGTACTCAAACATTTACAACTATTAAACATTTTCTTTTATTATATATGTCGGAGATGAAAGGACAGCGGGGCTTTCCGTCTAGAATATTGGGAGAACTCCTTAAAAACCTTAAGTGTAGCTATAGTGAAAGTCTGGACTAGGGTATTGGGATTTTTCACTGTCCTTTCATCTCCGACATATATATAGAAATATATATCGTATTACATTATAGTATATTGAGAATGTTTTTTTAAATTAATGCAGTAAAATCGTATATTTATGGAAAGTTGAAATACCGATATGGCATTTGCTTTAAGTGCAATTATAAGTGACGGCTCAACCATAATTTCTTTTCAATGATTATAAATTATTCTTAATATTCATAAATTAGCCCGTGGACGGCGACATTTTCCGTAAACGGCGGTAGCGATATGTTGAAATAAACTAATCTTCAATGCTTTCTCATAAACTCTGTTCTTAATTGCCGAGTTAACAGTTGCATCATGGCGGCCCTACTTAAGAGGGCGCGCGCGGTCGTAGGTGCAGTAAATTTTTTTTTAAAATATTTATTAAAATTACAATCAATTCTCGCGTTGAGAATTTTCAGTAATTTTTCTGGCGTGGCGCAGTAACATGGCTAATTATTTATAATAAGTTAATACTTATTATAGATAAGTGTAATAGGTGCAGTAAATGACATCCAAATTCTTCGTAGAGTTTATCGAAAATTTACTGTTCAAAACGATTGGTGGATTATAACAGAGGAAAAAAGAAAAAAATATTTATTTAAAAAAGAATAGAAATAAGAAATTAAATCATATCATTTCTCGTGGAATTCTTTAAAATGGTCGATGCAATAAACTGATAAACCGGTCAAACGCGATCTTCCACATCTAAAGAATATTTAGCATACTTAGCATATTGGATGCAATTAAATTAATTTAATCGGAATCCAGAACTGTTTACAGCTACAAGTTATGTAACAGGTAAAAAATTTTTTTGTAACTTCAGCTGCCAAAACTCTAAAGATCTAAACATGGAGGGGAAAACATGTCAGAATGAAATATCATATAGTTTTAAGAATAATATTTTTGATGTCACCTTACGTAAACTTCAATGTCATACGAATGTATATCAATTTTTATATGTGTCCTGTAACTCATGCATGTCGGATATCAACAGCGTGGTTTATATCTCTATCCTTCTTTCATTCCTTTACCAGTTATAACAACGCTGGCTATTACATACAATGGGTTAAGAAAAGAGACAATTTCCTGTAAATATATCTCCTTCTATATAACTGTTCAGATAAATTCCTAACCTATACCCAATTAGTGAATGGCTATTGTTCACGTGTATTCGCACTCGAAATTTGCCTGATTCATCGAACCTATGCTTAGTTTAATCGTGATCTCACAATCCGAGCCTGTCAAGTGAACGTACGATCGAAAAATGGAAGGGGAACGAGTCGCGTGAGAATCCCAACTTGTTGACATTCTTGTTGTTGATAATAGCTAGATGATACTTACCAGATCGTTTAACCTCTTGCCCTACGGCGTCGCGTGAGACTCGCGATATGATTCACGGGTCAAGGAAAGAAGTCACGTTTGTCAGTGATATATATTGCTCATTTATGCCCACAATGACATTATTAAAAATTTGTAGTTGTTGAGTTAATAACATGCAGAGGAAAAAAAAGTTGTTGGTACTTTTTACGAGTCGAGTGTTGTAAGTGAGGTTATGGAACTTACCGTACGAGGAGACTTGGGCCGCTATCGCATTGTGACGTTTCCAATTAATGTGCGTATCTATCTTTGTAATTGCGATAAGCCTCTCAAGAATAATTTATAGTCATCGAAAAGAAGTTATAGTTGAGTCGTTACTCGCAACTGTAAAGCATATCGGTATTTTAACTTTCCAGTAATATATAATTTCATTGCGTTAACTTGCAACGAGGAAAGAGAGGGAGAAAACGAATTTTATTGGTCGGTTTAGCGCATTTGACTCCCGTCGTACTTTCAATTGTCTCCGGCAGACATTTTCTATTTCCACATTAGCGTCAATTTGGAAACGTTATTCCTAACGATAGATAGTGAAACAAGCGTTATTCAAGGGCAATTGATAATGGAATATGATCATCAAATTGTTTCCAATTTTCAAAACGAATTCTTTTGGAAATGAGGCCTTCTTTCAGTGAAATTCGTCCTTTGGAAAATACTATCTTTACGATAATAGTAGTATTTTTACTATCAACTCGAAGCTATCGTAAATTCTATTAAGTGTGACATTAATGTAGATACATATATATTATCTATCTTATTAATAACAGATTTAGCATATTTTGTGATAAATTATTCTATATGATAAGCAACTCATTTTCCTTAACTTCATTTTATTAGAATATATTTCGATTTATCAAACACATTTACATAAATGTTCAACGTTCGCATTGAGATTGATGAGATTCAGTTCAGAAATTTTGTTACTTACACTTTTTTTCATATGCTGATAGATAAACCTAATTGGAACGCGTGTAATTGGCGCGTAATTGAAACCACTTCGAGAAATGTTTCAAATAAAAGTTGGATGGTTTCGAGGGGAACGTAATTTGACGCGATTAATTTTTCCGTAGGAGGATGCACAGAGGACACGCGTATATGTCAAGTTTTTAAGTTGTTATTGCGTTTTCTTTCTTGCACATATAGATTCTTCGATGCGTTCTACGTTAAAACATATTACGAAATCTTATGAATTGTTAATTTTTGAAATATTCCGCCCTAATTTCACGTAGAATGTTCCGAAGAATCGATGAATATAATATGTACACATAAATATGTAAAAAGAAATATAGCACCGTTTACAGAAACGAACTTGACCTTTGTACGAGTTCCACGCATCCTCCGACAAAAAAACACCCATAATACGTTAAATTATGTCCCGCCGGAACCGTTCAACTTTCACTTAAAACATTCTTCGGTAAAATCATAGTCCTAAAAATAACTCCCGATGTATCGATATCGAGTTTCAGATTTCAAGATAATATACATTTAGAACGACGCACGAAAGAAGCAAGAATTCATTTATTTATAGAAACGTAATAATTATAGGAATAGCAATAATCGTATTGATGATGAAGTGAGCTGCGTAAGAAAATGAAAATGAACTACGTGTCACGATGTAGGTTATCGTTCAAAATGAATATTTTCTCTAGAGGTGGATAAAATTTTGAATGGAAAATGCGAGAAAAGTCTCGCTGTCTGGATGTTTAAAGGCTGTTAGCGCAGTGAAAAAAGAGAAAGGAGGCAGAGAGTGATTAGGAAAAGTGGGTCGTGGTGTGAAATATTATGTGAGGTATACCACGGAATAAATTAAGATAATAATTGTAAACGAGCCTTTAAGCACATAGTCTTTAACAATACAGAGTTGTCGTTCGTCATTTGTGAATTTCTATTACAATTTTTCAACGTTTATATCGACGATTATTATATCAACGGTTTTCAATATTTATATTATATATATATATTTATTTATTTATTTATGTACAGTTTGTAATTAAAGATGTCACCGACAGCGATAGAATTATTTATCGCTTGAAACTTTATCGGCGCTATAGTAAGACTTAAGTTGGTTAGTTTTCGGCCATTTGAATATTAAATTTCAATATTATAACATTTGATTATTAAAAATTAAAAAAATAGCTGGTTTCAAATAATAAGATAGATAACCTTGACAGTTTTAGCATATACAACCTTATATAGAATCTTCCTTTGAAAAATAAAATTTTCATCCTGCAGAGTTGCGATTGACATCAAAACAAAGTTAAAGATTTAATAAACTGTCACTCTTAGATAACTGTAAACTTAGAAAATCAAATTCTAACGAGTTTCTGCATGTGCAAATTATTATCTATACTCTGAAAGATATATACAATACATATTATTTTCCAATGGTGTTTTTTTTTTTTTTATCAGATTTGCCATTTTATTTTCATAGAGTATCAAATTCTTCCACTTCGAAAATGAGTTCTAAAAAAATATTATTTGATATTACCTATCGGTGTAAATTAATGATTTCCCCCTTGGTATGATGAGACTAGAGTATATTCACCGAGGGGAAAACCTGCTAGATATTAGACTCATAAATTTGTTTAAAATCTCCCACGTACTGTCAATTTGCTGTTCAGAACCGACATTGTATATATACGTAATATATACGTATACGTAAATAAATGAAAAATTGCATATGATTTATTTTTATATAATTTATATAATTACGAAACTTTAGTTATTCCATTTGCTTGTTAGTTACTTTAACTAAGCTAAAAAAAAGCTACTCATAAGAAAAAGCAAATATTAACAAGTTACCACTTTAATAACATAATATCTGTATCGAATATGATACACCGGACGCCAGTCATTCTAAGCCCCACGTTTCGTAAATAATTCCGCTCGATTTCTGAACGTTTTATTTGTCATTCCTGAGAGTATTATAACACGCTACACAAATAACTTACAGCGTACTACAAAAAATATACTTTATGTATGTTGTGTTGATGTATAGGATGTATAAAATTCTTTTAATTTAAAAGTCAAAGTTTATTTTTAATAGGCAAAAATTAAGCATTTTTAAAATTGTATAAACTGTGGCATATTGAAAAAGAAACAGTGAATTTATAACAAAATGCAAGATATATTTGTCAATATTACCATTATATATAAAACATTTTTCCGCATTTTCAATAATTAAAGAAATAATACAGCTGTATTATAAGAATTCATTAATACGTACTATATCTGCAATATATTCTTACACGTATTATTTTTACAAAGAAATATGTATTTCAATACATTTTTTAATACATGATGTGTACATAATCTATGATGATGCACCCTATGAACACATTATTAGTTTTTTATCGTTATGTATTATCGAAGAAAGCAAAAGAAGCAGATATTCTAATTTCTAATCGAGTTGACAGCTAATTTCCCTTAAATTTCTTGAGAAGTGAGTTTGCAACGATTATTCCCGCCATTATTCGTTATTATAGAAAGCAAAAGAAGCAAGAATTCTGGGTACTAATTTAACTTCGTATTGTTTGAAAATCGCATTAGTGCAGATAATACCAATACTCTGATGCAATATTTTCGCGCTGGTAAATCTAGAAGAATAGTCATCCAAGCCATATGATAATAATAAAGAAAATAGAAAAGATTTCGTAGACGCGAAGTTTGGCGCCTCCTACGAGACATCTGGCGACTTTTAGTTGAACTTTCGAAGACTAGTGTGCCCGCGCTTTGATATGCACTGCCGATTATAAGTATTTCAATACTTCTAAATCATTATAAATACTATTTATTGTAGCTTAAAAATACGTACAAAATTTCTTCATAATTTAATTGTACGACAGATTTTTTATAAAAATTATCTTATTTCGTTTGCGTTCCGCAAAATTTTGCAATAATTATAAGAAGCTTTATAACGCTGATAATAAGTTATACTAGAATACATGGAACGATAGAGACAGAAATCTATATAGACACTGTGTAACGTCACTACTCGTCCAGAGTGGTACAAATGCTTTTAGAATATTAAGGAAATGTTAATACATTACAAAAAATGACAAATAACAAATTTAATAACACTACTCCTAAATAAATATAACATTGCAATTCAATAGAGGTCACTGTACAGCGGTATGCTTAATTAATACATGTCATTATGGATTATTTTACATATGAAATGAGTACCACGTATAATATTGATCTTTAACCTAATAATCGAACTGTTCTTTAATTAAAAACTTTTACAATCGTGAAATTAAAAGATAATGAATGCAAACCAATTTTAAGTACCGATTGTAATTTTTCCAAATATATATAAGTATGACATAATTCGTTATAAGAATTATATCATATGCGTATCATGTGCGTATATATAAATCGAATATATCATACGTACGTATATCGAACTCTAATCTCAAGGGAAGAGCTACAATCTTCGAATTGCGAAGGATTTGTCTTATCGAATTTTTCGAGGAACAAAGAGAAGAGACAAATTCAAATTTTAGAAGTGAATTATTTACTATAGATCCTGCCATAACCAAACGAATAGTTAATCAGCTTGACTTCTAAAAAGTGATGTATCACACGTAATGTGATTTTTTATTAGAATTTTTATTTTCTACGATACTTATACATAAGCAGTTGATTTATTTCATTTAACTGGAAACTATACTTCATTCGAGTGATTATTTGACGTTGAAAAGGAATACTTGAATATGTAAATAAAGTAATATCTAATAATGTGCATTAATATATATGTATGCATATTCACTCGCTTCTTGGACTTTCAAGAGTCATAGATCATACAACATACTCCTGTATTTGCGTATTTTAAATTTTCGCATAATTGTTTTAGAATTTGCGTGATAAAACCCGTACTTGACAAATTTTCAAACGCCATTTTTTCAGGAGTGGATGATCCTATGAATAAATCTTATTCTGTATTTCCGACTTGTTTTCACAGGGAGTGCAAATTTTATATTTTATATTGTTTTATTTGTATGATGTATAGATAACATGAAAAAGGAAATAGTTCTGGATATTTGAATTTTACTATGATAAATTTATCACATAAATTTATTAAATTCATATAATTTTCTAAAATGCGAAATATCATATAATAAGAGGATTTATAAATTGGACTACTTAGATCAGAATTAGAGACATAGATAATTGATTGACATAACAAATATTAAACTTTAACATTGAAACCAATTCTAAACCACTGAAATTGATTAATAATAATACATATATAATAAAATATATTGTACATGGTTATTGCTGCAAACTTAATATTTGCAGTGTAACTGTATAGATTCTATGTAATAAGAATTACATACACGGAAATCTACATACAAATGAATTATAAAACAAATATTTCACCAATTAAGTAATTGACAGTATATTTGATCAATCATTAATAAATTGATGATTATATAATCTGTGGCAGTATGCATAAATAAACAAGCCAAGTGTTTAGGTTATTAACTCCACGCTCTTTTTATAGGTTATAAATATAGAAGGCAATAAAACATCATTTATTATTACGAGCTCGTATAATAAATGAGTTATGAATATAAATAAAAAAGTAATAATATTTCTTTGATATAATGTTGGCTTTTACTATGTTTTCAAGCTAGTGTTATTCTTAACCTTATTACTGCATAGCAATTACTATCACATTTTCCTAAACGATGGTATGCTGTTTATATGCAAATTGCTTTAATTTTCACTTCACTTTGTACAAATTAGCGAAATTGTTTTGCATACTTGCTCGTTCGTTCTTATAATTTGCCTGCTGTTTCTATTTGCATATATTTTCTACTTCTAAGTTTACTATAAATTACATATTATCATATCCAATTAATTTCGGCGTTTACTTCTCACATATTGCACGATCTATTAGATAATGGTACTTTGTCATAAAATGTCTATTTTCGGTGATTCGAAAATAAAATCGAATATTTTTAAATATCAATACTTCCGTGAGACTCGAATTCTTAAATTAATCATCGATAGTATTTTTGTATTGCTTTCGAAAACTTTTATAAACTTTGTACCGTGGTCTTTCGATTCTTATCAAGGAATTATCCGATTATATCATTAACACAGTAATATATCTTATCAGACTCGAAGTACGTGCTGTACAACCAGAATTTATCCTGTTGCGAAAACTGACACCGTAGGTGTTTGAACTTCGCAAAAGATTCCCTGGCGATTGACTTCTACTAAGAGTGGAAAGATGACCTTGAGAATGTCTTCGTAGCTGTCGCGGCTTCGACCAAATATTTATTTCATCTCAGCCTTATCTCAACCGAACCAAAATGCTCTGGAAAGTGTATATACGATCCTTAAGTTCTGCGAATAACTTCTCTAAGAAAACAGAAAAAAGAAAAAAAAAAGACGCTTTGTCTTCTTGCGACATCATCGTGAACTTAACACGTGTTGTCAGCAAGCGATTGCATAAGGGTTTCGACTTACGTAGAATAAGCTCCTGCCTGGTTGTATCACCTATTCTGAAACACTCTACATGTATATTTAACTAACAAACATGTGCCGATATCGATGTGTCGTCCGATTGCTGAAGAAGCGGGATAATCCTTGTTGATATGGCATGTAATAATAATAACAACTACTGTTGCGCACAGATATGCTGCGCGATTCGTTATATAGAAAATTATACATACCAAGTCGTAGTTTCTTCTTATGCTCATGCCACATTATAGATTTATGCTTTTATTCATTTATATCTTTAGAAGCCCTTTATCCTTTGTTTGCTGACAAATATTCTTTGTCAACTTCTTTATTCGGTAGCAAATACTCTTTTACGCAGTCGCTCTTTTATTTGAAAATAAATATTACTAAAGAAGGAAGGAAAAGAGAGATTCAAAAGATTGCCGGTTGGTGGCAGTTCTCAATCATCGTAGCGAAATCGGAATGAACAAATGGGGGGAGTAGCCGATATTTCTTCGTATTCGTTGTAGCATACCTTACTGTATCTTATTTATAATTTATCGTTTGCAAGATTTGTAATTTTTATTTTAATTTTCTAGATTAAAAAAATATCTGAAAGATTGTTTTCTTCTCTGTTCCAGTCAATAGGCGACGGAGGCAAGAGGAAGTGTAATTTCTTTAACTCTTCTGCGGCTAGCGGATAGAAAAAGGATACTTCAAGATGAATAAAGTGGATTATATGGAGGTCACTGTACCTAACTATTCGTATGTCTTCAACTTCGAAGAGACATTCATTCATATGGATACTAAGATATGGATGACGAAGAATTGGACAAACTGTTTTTACTATTGTGGCATTTATATGATCCTAATTTTTGGAGGACAGCATTACATGTCGAATAGACCAAAGTTCGAACTGAGAGGCATACTCGCACTATGGAACACACTGCTTGCGACGTTCTCTATTATTGGATTTACTAGAACAGCGCCAGAGTTGATTCACGTGTTAAGGCATTATGGGTTTTACCATAGTGTTTGCATACCAAGGTGATTTCACTTCTCTATCTTATTCTGTAAAATATTCATAATAGTTTGAATATTACTTATTAGTTAGATATTATCATGGAACCATTTCTTATATTTGATATTTTAAAAGTCTTACTCAAGCGTAGAATTCAATGCTTGAATGTATATTTAATGTATATGAAATGTATTGAATGTGTATGAAAATGTACCGCGGTCTCGATACCCCCGACATACGAATATTTGAAAAATTTCAAAGCCGGACAGTTTGATCTAATGCTTGCATATTTTCTTTCCAGCTTCATTGAACAAGACTGTGTGTCCGGTTTCTGGACGTGGATGTTTGTCTTGTCGAAGCTTCCAGAACTTGGCGACACAATCTTCATCGTGCTACGGAAACAGCCACTAATCTTTTTACATTGGTATCATCATATAACGGTTCTTCTCTACTCGTGGTTCTCATATTCGGAATACACAGCATCAGCCAGGTGGTTTGTCGTAATGAATTACTTTGTTCACTCCATAATGTATACGTATTACGCTTTGAAAGCAATGCGATATAGACCACCAAAGGGGATCGCCATGCTGATCACTACGCTACAATTAGCACAAATGGTTATTGGTTGCCTTATAAATATTTCGGCTCACCAGTACCTGGAAAGTGGCCAAATCGATTGCCACATTACGCGTGTCAACGTCAAACTTAGTCTGCTCATGTACTTCAGCTATTTTGTACTCTTCGCTAAATTTTTCCAGAAGAGTTATCTATCTAAATCTAATAACAAAGTAGGGAAGAAGGTTTACGCTAATGGAACAGTGGAGTATGACAAGCTCAAGGTTAATTAATGCACACTACAATTTTTGAAAACTTTTTCTATAGACCCTTTCCAGGAACATTCCTTGAAAACGCTTTTCAATAAGATTTCTTTCAAAGGCGTTATGGAAATGCATTTCAAGAAATGGCCCTTGAAAATTTTTTTTAGGAGTCTTTGTTAATTCAAAGTCGTAAAAACTGGTTGCAGTAGAGTGAAAGTGGTGAAAGGTGGGGTGGAAATTACTTGAAAATATAGCACATTGAATTTTACAATAATATTAAATGTTGCACAGTGAATTTAGTAATAAATTTCATGATAACTTGTTTAACGCGTCTCACGCGTTGAACACGTTATTATAGAATTAATGAAAGAAGAAGGAGCTTCTCCTTAGAGACGTCTTGAAACTTTCGTTTGTTTAGGGACGATTTCAAAATAAATTTCTTGGTGAACTTTTTTCTTTACGCTTCTTTATGAAGTTAGCACAAAATTTGGTAGAACGAGGATGGAGACATAATATTTAAAAACATAGTAGGAATGTATTATTTAATATTGAACTATTTAATAATGAAGAAAGCATATTAGATTTGAACGAAATTCGCCAACAAATAATTGATATATTCTTATTACATTTAATATGTTTGACATATTTATTGTTATGGAAATGTATAAATATGTTGAGATATCATAAAGAATATATAATTATCTGCATATGCAAAGTATGGATAATATTAAAAAATATATATCGTGATCGATCTTTCGTAAGAACAGCCGAAATCTTTTTTCACGTTGCTCGAAAAGAAAAGAAAACAAACACAAAGAATTGTTCCCAAGTCTTGTTCTACCGGAATAACGATAAAAAAAAAAACGAATTACTTTTGAAGAAGTCAGAAAGTATGGAGAAAGAAAACCATAAGTGAAATTTCATTAGGCCTACCTCCAGAACGAGCTAAGATATTCTTCGTAGAAAATAGTAAAACAAAACGATAGGTAATAATCGAAAACCGAAATCGTAATCCCAATTGATGACCATTTAAGAAATGAAAGAAAATAATAAAAGAAAGAAGAGGATTTATAATTACTATTTTCTATCGTGACTATTTTGTGCTGCTAGGAATAATAAAACGGGCAGCTTGCCGACGTCTTTTTACTTTCAAAGTGCAATCAGTCTTATAGAGAGTGTTTACTCCTTTCGTTTATAAATATTTATATCGCATAATTTATTTTGTATGAAACTTTTGTACAAATTGTTATTTATATTTATATTGATTTATTTAAATCATTGCTAATAAAAACACTTTTGGCATGTCATAACGAACACAACTACAATCTTTATTCAAGTCATTGGGTGTGATAAATCTTCAAATTATAAATTTAATCAAGACAAGGAAAGCAATAGCGATGGATTCTCTTTCACATAATTTTGTATCATTAACCGGCGTGGTACGGACAACATGAGCCAATAACTAGGATTAATTCTAAAGTCAATCCACGCAAACATTTCAGAAATGTTTATTATGTATCGAGTATGTGGTATATGGTATTGTTATGAAAAATATTAAGAGCATTCTGCGCAATATACCTAGCTGCCACTGAACTTTTTCGTTAATTCTTGTAAAAGGGATGATTTTCGATTATTTATGTAAAGAATTGTTTATGTCTTAGGCGAATCAATGATCTGTAAGCAAGAATTGAATGGATACTTTCTGCAGGAATGGCTGTTCTTTGAAAGATGAATTGTTGTCCGATTCTAGTCGCATAGTCAGGACGAAAGCATTTTTTAGCTGGAATGGAAATTAAATTAACGAATTCAATTTTCAAAACGATTATTCACGCCGCTGATCGACGCGCACTTTCATATTTGACGTTTTTTAAACGCTTTCCTTTTCCACATTTTGTATGATACTTGATTGGATGCAACGTTTTGTTCTTTTTCTGATTTATTACATTCTTTTTAATTCCTCCCAAATCGCACAAATATCGCCAATGAAAAATTCGAAACCCTTACTTCGACTGAAGTATACACTTTAATGCAGAGACTTTAATTTAAAAATAAGCATTTAGCTTATACGAAGTGGTAATAATTATTCTAGTTTGTGTATGTTCCATTTCTAATTGTTTGGTTATTTGGTTGAGAATATCGGAGGGAAAAAACAGTCCAAATATTTGATTTAACAGTAAATATTGCCAAAGAGTTCTTACGTTCGATTCGAATTTGCTTATTTATTTAACAAAATAATATTAAAACGACGACGATAATATTCGTTGAAAGGTGCGTGTTTCATTTGGTGGATGAAAAGAATTTAATTACTCGCCTTAGGTATTTATATACGTAAGTTATATTGTAAACATGATTACGCGTGACGCAAGGTGAATAAAGATAAATACGCAAACTAATTTGTAAAAGATATTTGCAATAATTAAGAATTCTACTCAACTATAAAAATATATGTTGTAAACATATTTTATTAATCTACGTAATGTTATTTTCATGTATAGAAAAGAAACGATCAGAGTTTAGGTTAATATTATATATTTAAAGAATTTGTTACGCGATGGTTGAATATTACAAAATATCGTTGAACAAAATTATTGCAAATACTTGTGTTAAAGAAATTTTCCTAGATCAAGCATATGATCACTGCTCTCTTGTGTCGATGCTGTAATCATAATCGATTGATTATTAATTAAGATATTATTTATTTGAGTGCTGCTTTTATTCACCGATAGCGCTGCGATCGGGTTAATTCTAAAGCTGACTTTTCCATAGATTTTTCATAGGGGAATTATAGAGAGAAGCAAAATAACGAAAGCCTCAAATATTTATACAGGTAATATTAAAATTAAGCATTACATTTACTACGTCGCAGGAAAACACTTGTAACTGCTCTGTTATCGCCGTTGATTGGTGGTAATCGCGTGTAACGTATCAGCGAAATTTTTTTAAAGAGAATCGAAAAGAAATAGTTTTTTAGATCATCCAGCGCTAAATACACAGAGAAGTGTAAAGATAGATTCGACGATCGATTAATTAAGTAAACAGACGAACTTCGGCTTTGAAAGTTGAAACAAGAGTAAGATGATGCTTACGATTGAAACAAGCGAATGCAAACGGAATGAAAGCAAAACTTTAGAAGAGGTTCGACGTCAACAACGAAATACGAAATACAGAGGAACAAAAAGAGAATTCTGCCTGCTTTGATATCTGTTTAAACGAATTCTAGAACCTTCAACTTCTCTCGTTGAGTTATAATTGAGGAATAAGGGGGAAAAAACAAGAAATGTCACAAAATAGCTTCCTTGAGAAAATGAACTTTCCATATTTTAGCCCACTAGAAGGCGAACAATATTCGATCAATTTAACTGTATTATTCGTAAAATAAAGTATACGCCTTAATTAGACACGTCATAAAAGAGCATGATTGGTAACCTATTAATTATTTTTATTTGCCTTTCGCTCCAGTATCTACGGTATATTTAAAATCTTTAACGTTATTTTATGGGGAGATTTTGAACGTTGCAAGCATTATGATTTTGTTAACACTGCAGTCCGAGTTCTCACACACGAAGTATGTTACAAAATGTAAAATCACGAGAGATGAACATTCCTTGTTTTTCCTCTTCTTATTCGACGAGACCAATGGAAGATCGGTAAATCCATAGGAACAATCTAGGGAGAAAAATATTTTTTGGCTCGATTCGATGTCCTTCTAATGGTATAATTTAATGCGCAATGAGAAATAAAAATTGAAGTAACTCGTTGAAGAAAAGAGGACGAAAGAGATAAAAAGTTGTATGTGTGTATGTGAGAAAGGAATAAAACGAGCGTGATAGGAAAAAAATATCATTGTATGATTTTGTTCTTTTTTTTTTTTTCTAAATTGATGATCTTATAATTTCATTTGTTATTATATATGCTTTTTCTTTACTATACATAAATATTGTATATGAATAATAATAATAATTTATGATGGAAGGTGTGAAGAAGATGTTTATTTTTTAATTGTTGGATATTAAATTGAATTTTCTGATTCAATTTCTTGTCACTCCACCAAACTTAATATACTTGGACCTGATTAATTACTATATAAGTGTTATAGACAAAGGTATCTTGAAAGTTAACCAGTCGCAAATATGTAGTATTCGACGACCGGTCGTATATAGACCTTGTCGTACGACTCACCAATGTCGGTCCGATGTAATTCGAACTGATTTGTTTCTTGTCGCATCGCACGCACGGCGTTCGGACCTTTATTCACGCGCGCGAGGGAGGAAAATGCATTTGATGCATATCCGGCAGCGTACTATCGGGTTATGTAGTTGTATGGCTCAGCTGTCTGAGATGATGTGCGACAAAACCCACTAAAACCCTCTCCTCGTTACTGCCGTACGGCGGACTCAATGGCCACCTTCGCAGCACGGTATAAAATGCGCTACCTTGGGATTTCAGTTTGAACTAAACAGGCCCGTTTATTTGCATCGGACATTAATATTTGTTCTTCCTTTATTATTTCAGGTTTGTATGACACTGTTGTTACTTATTTTAGAAACGCGTATTTACGTTTTTCGTCTTCTCCTTTGACTAATTTGAATTTCCTTTTCTCCTCACTCTCTATCTTTCACTATAATTATTATAGTCGCCTTGAAACAATCTCAAGAATGACTAAATTTACATACTTTTTCAAGAAAAATTTGCCAGACTCCATTTAGAATAGTACAAAATAAAATGTTCGAGTTTATCCAGCCTTTGTCCACAATCCCAGTACGTCTCACTTTACCTGACGTCCCAACTCTTTTCCTGAACGAATCGAATATTCCGTGTCCTGTCAGAAGTTGCACGCAGTAGTAACCAATTTCTTACTTTACTTTTCCTAAAGAAGTATGAGACCTTGATAAACCTTCTTGTCCAGTTGTCTCGCTTGTACTGCGTTCCGTTCCTATTGCCATTCATCTTCGACTTCGTTGTCAATTCTATTCCTAATTTCAGACAGGCTGGTTTCTCGATCTTCTGCTTCAGTGTAGAAGAACCGTGCCGATGTGCGTTTCTAAATTCTTTCGTAAGCTCGTCTTGCTTCTTTCTTATTTGCGCCTTAATATAAATGGGAATCGGTATCGGTAAAGCCGAGACCATATGACCATTGGAACGACATCTGTTGCGTGATGTCCGTTGTAGAAATATGTACATATTACCGTATATCGAAATGACGCATGTTCCTAGTGAGGGGGCTTCAATGTACGACGATAATATGTTTCTACAACGAATACAGCGGACCTTGTTTCAACGCTCGTATGGTCTTGCTCAAAGTACGTATAAACGACGTTCGGGTCTAGCAACCGTTTTATAACAGGCGCTAAACATAAACCAGATCTCGAACACTCGAGAGCGCGATTAGTATATATAATCGTGTTCGAGAGGGTCGCACAATAAAACTTGGGGTGTCGCATTTCAAAAACGGTAAAAAGGGTTGAAATCCCTTGTTTATCCCTTATTTTTCATCTCATTCAGTTATATGTTCGTGATCTTGTTGATACAGAATAATCAACAAAGCTTGTGTAGTTTTAACTGTGCTTATAAATAAGTTATTGGGGAATATATAGGACAAAGCTGAATACATATTTAAAATCGTATAAAATTTAATAGAATTATAAAATATTTCTTTATGTTATTTCATAACTAATTATACACATTGTAATACTATTATACATATTACAGTGTCAAAGGATCGCCGGTAGATGTCCCAGCCTGCGAATCACTTGATAAACTCGAATTTTCATGAATTAACTCCTTAATTAACAAACTTTGAATTTTATTCCTAATTATTAATTTTCGGATAGGATCTAATCGTCTGAGGGACGGTACCAGGGACTTTGCAAAATGCATGTCTTCGTCATCTTGCTCGTGTCTCTCGCATAGGCCGTGTTCGACGAATGCCGGAAGTTTTTTCTTTTCCATCTCTAACATATCTCTTCCAAAGTCAGATAATGTTCTTTTTCTTCCTCTCGAATGGTGATAGATTGACGTATTATGGAGACGTGGGATTTCGGGGGATTCTTCAAATCTAGAGCTATGAGTATCGAAAGTCTCGAGATGACGCGGTGGCGTTATCCTTTCAGACGCTTCCGTTGTATCCGCAACTTCTTGCCCCAAATCTTCAGAGTTCGTGTCCGTTTCGGAATTCAATGTATCCGTGCTGGGTACATTGTCGAAATTGCTCGTCATTTTTGTTAGCACCATAGTGTCTTTTAAAAAAAAGAGCATTTCGAAAAACACCCACTTCCCTTTGTAATCGCTCACAGATATACTAGCAGACTCTCCAGAACGGAGCTTCTTCACTTTTTTCAGTTCTCTTTGGAACTGGTCCCTTAAATTTCGCCATTTCGACTTGGCTTCCACTTCTGAAATAAAATACCCTTTTGTCCATTTCAGACAAATTACCTCTTCGTTTGGAATATGACAAAGTGCTGTTTCAGCCATTGCTATTGAAATATGTCTTGCCATTTGGGCACAGCTTCTAGAGGCTTCTACAGACGAGTCGAATGAGTGGCGAGTGGCCAGAATCAGAAGTAACTACTCGTCTTTTTCCCGTCGCACTTCCGGAAGAAGTATGGGAGAGCGCGATGTCCTCCGTCTTGCACGACCCGTCTGTATGAGCCTTTGAAGCTATAGGAACCAATGTTGACAGTGCGATTAGTATTACACAGTATTAAACAATACTTCGAATTACAATGATATAAAGAGAAATTATTTGGTATTAAGTGAATTATCAAATTACGGAAGAACCGTTGGTAGCAGCGTCGGGGATGAGAGAAAAATCGTCTACTTACATACTTTTTTAACGATATTATGTACATAAAGAAGCAAACATATTTTTAAAATTTTCAAACTATCAGATAAGTACATTTAGACAACTTACTGTCTTTTTTTAATACTACTGCCACATTTTCCCATTCCTTGTCCACTAACACTCGGTTTTTGTAGTTTTCATCCCATCTATTCCATAAAACAGGCCTTTTTTGCACTTCAGAAATCAATAACTGTGCGAAAGTATGCATACTAGACGTCGTGCGTGCGATGCGACAAAGAACAAACTGGTCTGAATCGTCTGAATCTCATACAGCGCAATAGCGCAACCGACAAATACGACCACGGTCGTGAATGCGACGTTGTCGCATTGCACGCGACCGTAGAACGTGCTTCGTTTATGTATTACCGCGTTGGTTGATTGTTCAGACGACAACAATATCTCACCACTGTTAGCTGTACATCAATTAATATGCGATTCAGTTAGTACAGAGCTTGCAGTTACCGAAATTCAGTTGCATATGATTTATATTTTATATATACATTAAAAGTCTGATATCTGATAAAATTAACTGCAATATTAAGGTATTTGTAGCGCGACAATATCCCTCAAAAGTAAAGCACGGTGAAACTCGAGATCCCTACGCTCCGCGCATGCTTGAGATTCTCCCTCCACGAATAAATTTCTTTGTTGTCTGTACTTTCTTCGTACGCATACCAACAGGCCATTTAAAAAGGGATAGTGCGGCAACTTTGGCGCAATTTCGTCGCAACTTAGGGCATAATAGATATACGGCATGTTGGGCATCAAAAATACCGATATAATATACTTCTATACATACAAAACTTTCATTCGAAAACGCTGAGGTCCGAGTTGAATTTTTCTTTAATAAAGATTTTTCTAGCCATTTTACATAACATACTAGCCTTTTAACGACTTCGTAGGAACTATTATACTTCCTATGAGAATTATGTGTTAAAACTATCAATTTTAAAGGTCATTCTATTACCCATAAAAGAACAGCAAAATTTATGTTGCCTACTAACATACCTACATACCATACCACTATCTTTGTATCACAATCATGGTATAACATATTCAGGGTCTAGCCAATCTTCATTTAGGCAATGACTATCTATATTAGCAATAATCTTGCAATAAGGCTATAATTTTGTTTTTTCGCACATAAATAAATGATTTTATAAAATTTGAAGTAACTGTTCTGATAAAATAATGTTCAATTCTATTAATCCAAAGTGCGATTGGTTAATAAAATATTTGTAAATATTCGGGATATATCAAGAATCAAAGGTTTTAAAACGCGTGATTTAAAAATTTCATGAGAGAACTTCGTGTTATTTCGTTTAAGATTACTTGTGGTCCTTTTTTGACCTTACGAAATTATGGTACACAAAAACGATATTATCATATATATCTAATCAATGTGAAAAATTAATTGTATATCATTTTATTAATCTAAACAAAACTTATTATTTAAAATAAAATTGCAAATTTTATAAATGAACGAATGCGTAATTAAAAGACATTTATTTTACACAGATATACTAACATAGTTATTAAACATAATAGCTTACTCTTACGAACAAACATATGTTTAACTATTTGTCTTTTAAAAAAACTATAATTAAAATAATATTTTATATTCCTTGAAGAAAATTTAATATGATCAAACTTTTAGGATTGTATATTAATAATGTACAAATATATACATATATACACTATATATACACAAACACAAAATGAAATATTACATTATAAATATCAGTTATTATATGACAAACCAGCGATATAAAATTCCTCATTTATTTTACTGTACACATTTAAAACTACCCTTTTATGACTTAATGTCAAATAATTACTTTTGTGATTTTTGGTTTTTAGTATTTCTTAGATCTTTACAGACTTCAGATTAAAAATATTTCTTAGATCTGTAAAGCTGTAAAAAATACTTTAAACCTAGAATCTTGTCGAATTTATATATAAGTAAGACTATTTTTCTTTGTCCCATTCTTCAGAGACATATCTCAGTAAATCTGTAAGGTTTTCAAATTCAGTTCTACTCTGAGGAGGATCATTTTTTGGTATTTTTGGTAAAATATTTCCAACTTTTAATCGAAATTCTTCGGCAGTTGAAGCTCCAGAAAGCTTCCAAATACCATAAAAAAGTATACCACAACCACCAACTGCCCAAACAGAACCCCATAATAAAGCTCTTGTAGCAAGTGCTGCTCCGGACTCAGGAAGACCTTTCCCTCCCATAAAACCAATATCAAAATTTTTACTGTCTTTTTTTTTAACTGATGATAAAGCATTGAAAAAACCAGCCATAACAGAGATTCCTGCTACTCCAGCCAGGAACAATGTTTCTGAAACATAAATTGATAAAATTGGTAAAAATAGAACTAGGTTATGTATGATATTTCAAACTTTATCACATGGAAATGTAAAATTGTATAAATTTGAAATTGATCTATGTTTGAATTTATTACCAGCGAACTAAACATAAATTTATTCTATACTATTTCGTTAAATTGTAAGAGGTTAATATAAATTTTGTACTTTTCATACATATCTAATAACCTTAAAATAATATAAAATGAAAGAATATAAAAAAATAATACGTTTAAATTGTATTTAAATGTGGATCACGAATCACTTTAACTAAAGGAGTATTAATACTTGAGTTATCAAACAATCTAAATTTAAATACATACCATATAATTTATCTTTCTTCTTCTTTGGTACTGTCTCTGACATGATTATTTTTATATCACTTTCTATTTATTGTTGTAACATATCATAATATTGAAATAGTAGAATTAAAAAGGTTTTTCGCAAAATTTCAAAGGAAACACAAATAAAACAAGATGCAGAACCGGCACAAAGTTGTTTCTTTACCGGTTACTGCATAAATTATAACTTTTAATAGACATAAATATATTTTGCATTAAATAAATGTATTGCTATTGCATAAAATGAAAAATATACAAATGAAAATTTAGAACCTAAAGAATTAATTAAGTTTAATTTTATCTGAAAGGTCTAGCTAGTTTCTTGGAGCGCTTTGCACTAACAGCACGTAATTGGTGGTATAGTATTTCGTTGTCCATAGTTCATGGATTGAACGATTTTTAAAACTTGCTTATAACTAAAAATCAGGAGGAATATTTAGATAAAACTAATCTTAAATAATTCCTTACGTTTTAAACTTAAGGCCTTAGAAGACAAAAAGTTCTGTCTAGGAGCCGAAAAAATTTGGATCGTTTCATTTTGTCACCTGTAGATTGAACATAAATATTACATACATATACACACTTCAGACGCAAATATTTCAATACAATATCAATTTAAATTTATATTATTTGAAACTAATCCTCTTTTTCTATATGATTATTCAATATCACAATATCACTTATTGGTAGCATGTGAAATTGCATTAAGATTCCTTTAGTTGCTACCCTATAGAAAAGTGTCACTTTCTTATCTAATGATTCACAATTTATGGAAGTTTCTTTAAAAAGATGTTTCCTTCTCATTAAGTAAATTGCTACTTACATTACAAAAAAGTTCCATTTGTACAAAATTCGAAATTAAAATAGGAAAAATATGATGGAAGGTAGTGTAATAAAAACTATGTTATATATCGTATAATCGGTGATAAATTTCCGTCTATTTTTAGCAATAATTTCAAGTTAGAGAAATATTTCATGTCAAACCTTATTGACAAGTTATTTTGTTGACTGCTTAAATTGTTTTTTTTAAAGTGCTTTTATGAAATTAATGTTAAATTAATTTTATATATTCTGTAGTGTCTACAACTTCAAGAAAATATAAACTATCTGTATTATAATTATAGCGTTATAATTTAAAGATAAAATGTTGTAAATTAAATATCCAAAGAAATACATTTTTTCCTTGTATACTTGACATTATTTCTATATATTATGTCTGTAATATATTAAATAAAATACTTATATAAATTTGGAGCTGTCTAATATATATTTTATGTATTTAATATATATGATTTGTATTGATTATATGTTTATGAATTATATTACTATATGTTCATCATTTTTTTAGGTGAATTGAAGGACAATATTGATAAATTAGTTGAAGAACTGCGATTCGTTGTAAAATCTGAGAAAGAAATTGAAGATATTATTCAAGTGTTAGATTCTATTGTGAATGTTAGCAAAACTTCAATTGGAGGTATTAGCTATTTTTTGTCTTCCAGTTTCAGTTTAGACTTAAATTAATATTTGGAAAATATATATAAGAATTACTAATTGTTACAAAATATAATATTTATTACTTTTGTTTCAAACTATTATTATAAATTCATGAGAAATGCTATCAACTTTGATATTTTAGTCTATAATTTATACTTCTAATAACAGACAAATTTTATTTGTTTTTAGAAGCTACTGAATTTACAATAGATGATGTTTTCCTAACCTTATTGCGTCATGAATCTAAAGAAATTATTGCAAAGACTGCTAAAGCAATTGCTGAGATTGCTAAAAGTGAAAGGGGAAGAGAAAAATGCACTACCACAGATCTAGTAAATGCATTAATAGATCTATTAAAAGAGGATCGCGTTGATGTATTGACACAGACTTCCAGAGCCTTGGGAAATATTTGTTACGAGAATGGTAGGGAGCTTTAATCCCTAATGATCCAAATTTTGTTCATGTATGTAGTTAACATTAAAACCATCATTATTATAATATATCACTAATAGTAGTAACACGAATGGTTTCTATCTTTTGATTAATTTCTATTGAATATACATTTTTAACTGCATGAAGTATCATTAAAATGATTCTCATAAAAAATAAAGTTCCAGAAATTAAACTTATAGCAACTTACAAGATCAATTTATCAAAATTAAATCTATACAAAAGGAAAAACATGTTATAGGTACTGTTAACAAATAATTAATTTGTATATTAATAAACTAATTTGTAAATTAATATTATAATATCATTATTTTGCATGAAATCTAAGACTATATGGATATTATTATAATAATATTGACAAAATTATTATAGAAAATGGTAAAAAGTTTGTTGAGGACAAAAATGGGTTGATATCAATTTTGGCAGTATTGGAGAAAAGTATTACGTTGGAAAATGTAGAAGGTGCACCATTTCTTCGCAATGTTGCTGCAGGACTTTTGCTAAACTTTCTTATTGACCGACCGTCTCTTCATACAGAGGTATAATATTTTTATTAATATTTCTCTTGTTTGCTATATCGTTTCACGATTGTAGCTGTATTAGTATAATTGTCAAACAGTTTACCTTACATGCTCTCTGTATATTATATAGAATATAAAATTTTCATTTAGAATAATTTTATTTAAATACTAATCTTTCTTTATTTTCTTCTTAGGCACTGAAACAAGAAGTAGTGCCAATTATCTGCAGTATTCTGGAAATCGATGGAATTACAGGTGGAGAGGCTGCAATGCATTCTCTTTTGATACTAGGAATACTGAATGATGCTAACATAATATTTTTAGATGAAAGGGTTATGAAAATTTTAATAAATATCTTATCCACTGATACATCATCAGAACTTTCTGAAATGTGTTTAGAACTTCTTCATGGACAAGCAGAAGATGGTACCTTTTTATATACGTTTAATTTAGTTATTTATCATAATAATGTAAAATGTTGTCTAGTATTAATTCATATTGATATTTTAGAGAATGCCAAATTGATCCTTGCTAAAGCAGGTGTTTGTGAGTTACTGTTAAAGTTATTGGAAAAACATAGTCCATACTGTACAGATGAAGAAACAAGATCTGTGTTGAAGATCGCTTGCAACTTAATTGTTCTTATATTAACTGGAGGTATGTTAACCAAAAGGGAAGTAATAGGTACTTTAACTGTACTTTATAAGTATATTATGTGTAACGTAATATTTTAGATGACAGTATGAATTATCTATATGATGAAAGTAATGGTGTTGCATATAAAAAGCTAATTGAATGGCTCGAAAGCGAAGATAAAGATTTACAAATTACAGCCGTCTTAGCAATGGGCAATTTTGCGCGTACCGATGCCCATTGCAAACTCATGGTTACGCAAGGTGTTCATTGCAACCTTCTGAAACTGCTACAGAAAAATAATACAGATATAGCTGATATAAGATTTCAACATGCACTACTCAGCGCTTTGAGAAATCTTGTTATTCCTGCGGATAATAAACCTGTAATATTAAAAGATGGGTTAATAAACATTTTGTATTCTATGCTGAATGTTTCATCTTATCCAGTTGTATTTAAGCTACTGGGCACTTTAAGGATTGTTATTGATGGCCAAAGTATGTTAACAGTAGTTCTCATGAACATTTTTTTAAATACATAGAAAAAATATATATTTTGATAAAATTAACAGATAAGTAAAAGATGCAAAGAATAGGCAGTTTACTTATTATTACAGGTGAGGCTGCCATAGAATTAGGAAAAAGGGATGGTTTAATAAAGAAAGTTGTTAATTGGTGCGAAGTCGAGGAACATCCTGGAGTTCAAGGCGAAGCAAATCGTTTAATCGCTTGGCTAATTAATAATAGCAGGTCGGTTAGGTTTAATAAATACATATTTGTAAAATTTACATATCTTATACATAAAGTTTATATATATTATATGTATGTATAATTATTAATATTTATGTTTTTCATCATTAGAAATAGAGAAATAGCACTTCTAGTAATGGAACATGGAGCTGTGAAACACCTAGTCAAAATGTTAACGACACCACACGTTTTAATGCTAAATGAAGCTTTAATTAGCTTGATGATATTGACTACAACTTCCCTGATCGAATGTGAAAATCTTCTTCTTGAGGCTGATATAGGAGAAAAACTTTGCACACTTTTTACTACTTTAAACAGTTTGGAAGTACCAATTTTGCATAATGTTTTAAGTCTAATAGAAAATATTCTTAATTTAGGTATTATTGAAATACAATATGAAATTTAATCATATAATTGAAGACGCAAAGAACTGATGAAATTTTGCTAAGGTTTGTCTTAAATTTAAATTTCAGATGCCTTAAGAGAACATCTGGGAAAAACTGAATTGATAACATTATGTCAAGGAATAAATCTAATCAAAGAAGAACCAAAACTTAATGAAAAATTGAAAAAAATTTGCGATAAAATTGTGTAATTAAGTAATTAAAGAAAGGGATATTGAAAACGTACAATCATATATATGATACAAACATCAAAAATATGTTTTTTGTTCCTGTTTAATGATTAAAGCGATGCCAATATAACGTATGCAGTTTATGAGCATATAGATCAATTCCCAATTTATATTTAATGTTGAAAAATTATAAGATGTCAAAATTTTTATTATGTATGTGAGTGTATGTGCGTGTGCGTGAGCAACCAAAAATTGTGAAAAGTAACAATAACAATCATATATGTGTAATATGGGAAGTTAGTCTTAAATTATTTTAAAAAATTAACTTTGCTATTAGTTGTAATGTGAAAAATATTCATTAGTATATCAGCTAGTTTATAAAATAACTAACGTAAATATTATTAATTGTTTGGTACACGTGGATTATTTCTTATTTAACTTAAATGTGATAATTTTCTTGTTAGAAAAAAAGAAAGAAGAAAAGAAATACTACAAGTTTTCAAACGTATATATCGATGTACATAGTTTTAAGAAATTGACCAAACAATATATTTTATGTGATTAATTAATAATAAATCTACAGACTACAATTTCTGATAACTATATACTTTATTATAACCTTTATACTTTATTATAACCAATTATATTTATCTGCTCTGAAATTATTATAGTTTGTTGACCGATACAAATTTCCCGCCATACAATATTTCAATTTTGCGCGCGGCTTCGAACGAATGAGGAATTGTTCTGCTCTAGCCAATCAGGAATCAGCTAACTGAAGTTTTGGCGCGGAAAGTAATTATACTGTTGAAAAACGGTGTCAAGATGTGTCGTCCTTTGACGTGCGTGATTTCAATTACGTAGTGTTCTTGTTACTATTCCATTGTTTTCCATTAATATTTATCAGATTTGTGTAAACAATACATTCTTATATAGTAAAAGTTCTATAGCGAAATTTATATCGCTAGAATTTGGGTGTAATTATTGCTTTATTTTGATACAATTGGCTGAGTTTTATACATTTATTCTAAAGTTTTGGGTATTTTTTGTGTAAATTATTGGTTGATTACGAAGATGACTTTGAAAGGGGAGAGACGTATAATGTGGCAAGCAACGATGACAATTCGACATTTAATGCGAAACGTTTGGTAAGGTTTGATTTATTTTAACGCAAATAAACGTAAATATATATATGTTTATATTCTTTTTTAATTAATTCACGTGTGATAGGTATCCAATTAATACGCAATATGATTAAATTATAAATAACTATATATATAGTTTATTAACAGTGAACAACATAGGTTCATTCAGTTTTTATTATATTTACAGTAGAAATCGAAGTAACTTTTATATTTTGGCACATTTCGATCATGAATTCTTTATATAAATATCGTTGTTAAATCTGTATGGACACCTTTTATTATTTTTGTAAAAGATGAACAACGCGATCAGGTATGTTTCGATTCAGAGTTAGGTGTGACTTGTATGTTTGTTGTCATGACCGTCTCCGGCATGTTTACCTAACGAATTTGATTTCTTGTAAGATTTCTTAAATTTTTACACAGGCCTTGCTATCTGTTATGTAGTAGAAAGTTTCTACTAGTTACTATTAGTTATGCTCTTGCACGGGCACGGTAAATGGATTGCAAACTTTCTTAGTGTTAAGGAATGATAAAGCGGTAAAGTTTTGCTCCATCAACCCCCCAGTAGATGGTGCTTTATCAACCTGTTCCCAGGTGAACGTTCGCAGGACGCGTGCGCGTCGACCTATCACTTTGGTCGTGCGGTGCTTAAGCTTTCGTTGTCAGTAGTGGTGCGGCGGCCACAGTGAGGGCTGGTTCTTTTCGTTCTATCCCGGACAACAATACCGGTAAGCGCCTTTTCATTCTCTTTCAGATTTCCGATTCGTCCTGTAGCCGCTTCGCTACACGCTCTTAACGTGCATTCTCTAATTTTTCTTTTCATCATTCACGTTTACAGTTTCCAAACTGTAATAAAATGTCGAAACTTTGGCGGGATAAGGATGCTGCGTGCGATTGTTATGTTGAGGAATTCAGGATTGCTCTTTTTTTGAGGCCCTCTTGGCTCAATAAACACCCCCCACCGCCATTTTGACTCGTCCTTACCGATCGATAGGAAGAAGATAATCGGCGGTATTACCGACACGATGATTGTTTCTTCCCCGCGACGAATTAAAAAAATAATTATCACCTATCGATGGACAGGTGGCGCTTAGGTTTTTTCGTCGTAAGTTGCATCGTCTCAACGGTTCTCCCTCGCGGTCTTATCTAAGATTTAAGTAGGATCTCCTTTGAGTTTTTTCCTTTTAATTACGCGATCAACTTTGGAGATATTAGCTGCTTAATACGTTGAATATTAGAATATTTGAATTGCGTAGAATCTCTGTTATTCTGGGAGATATGTTTTACTTAATCTTGCGAACAGACGGTTTTTAAGTATGTTTTTCTAATGTTCTATGTTATGTTATTAAATTTCACATTGTATAATGTTAATAGAAGATTTTTTAGATAATCCTTCGATATTAGTTCCAACACAATGAATTTTTACTATAATTGAGATTGGAAATTTGTAGTTCGAGAAAATTTTGACGAGAAGTTATTAAACTTAAGAATTTTTTTGGGAGGGAAATCTTTGCGTTTTTTTTCGGCGTAATATTCATACTTAATGGGTTTGGCTTCTATATCTTTCTTATTGATTTTAATACATATATAGAACTAATTTGCTTATTAATGTGGGCTATTTTAGCAAAAAGGTAAGTTTCAGGTTCGTGCAAAGTATAAAAATGCCTTACGCTTCCAATAGCTTCTCTTTTGTATATAGTAATTCTCTGTGACCAAATAATAATGTATAATGACGAGTATTATGCAGAGTAATCAACTTTATATTACAATCTATTAGAAGGTAGTATTTTAACCTGGTGCTTTTTGACAGCTATCGTTCCATCTATTAATATTTCAAATTATTTTTTAATTATTAATCATTATATGTAAATTTATTATCTATTATCTCCCATACATATGTACAGTATTATTGTATTTTTACATTATACATTATATTATTGTATTTTTGAAGTTACACACCGATGGTAATGTAAATACAAGTTGTTTAGAATGTTACACGCGATTATTTTTAAATTTTGTTCCCTCTTGTTTGTCTCTTCAAGCTGTTTTTGAAAAAGGAGCAAGATATACTTGTCGTCGCTACTTTACACCATACACAAACGCATCTTTTTTATTAAACAACAGTATAATTAACTTTTCTATTATAGTAATTACAAGTTCGAATTTATTCACTAGATTATAAAAAATATATGTAATATATATATATATTACAAATAAAAAAATGTATGCAATATATATTACATGCATTTTTTATAATAATTATTAATTTAGTATTATATAATATTAAGTCAATATAATATTACTATTAGTAATTATATTTTTGATAATATATGTGTATTATAAAAAATTACTTATAATATATGTGTGTGTATGTATCATTGTTGTCAATATTGGCAGACAATATTTATTTTATTAAGGTCATAAAGGCATACAAATATGATGCAAGATTTATTGTTCAATATACTTTCTATCGATACGATGGTATAGTGGAAATTCCACGAGATTTATGTTCTATGTGTCTGTTCTATGTATGCACAGATTTTATGGTTTCGATTCTATCCTATCTTTAATACGTTCTATACCAACTATTTTATCTAATCTTTTTCTTGTATTTTTTCGTTTTCCCTCCTTTTTTTGACTGAGTATTTATTTTCATAGAAATTTCCCTCTAGTTAATCGATCTGCTTCGAATAAGTATCAGCGAAAGTTACATTATTTAATATGTCTATCTTATATAATGCACGAAGAAACTCGGTAGATGGCACTCGGTATAGGGAGAAGAAAAGTACCAACGAATTAACTTGTTTGGCGTTTTTAATTTATTAATGGACATGAATAGAGTTTCACATCGGTTTGCCTAGTAACGGCGGTTTTCATTAGTTCGTTTGATTAATAGGTTATTTCAGAATCAATGCATTGCGTAATGGATCTCATTCAAGGCATATCTCCTTTACCAGTAATGAGATTCACTCCACAAGGTAATCACAATTTGTCAGTTGGTGATTTATAGCTTAGAGTCTCGCGGACGATAATCGTCGCTATATGAACCACGAAATATCCAAGTTTCATAAATGGCACAGTACAAGCAAATATTCAATTTTACAATTTCGTTACAATTTTAGAACATCCTGTATTTTCTAAATACTCGTGTGTTTGCGACTGCGCTACAGTTTGGACAATTGTATTGGCAGAGAATTGGAGGGAGAAACGAGAAACTTTATTTTCGAATTATAAAGGTAAATTCCATGCTCGAGCAATTGTTCAATTAACCGCCGTGTAATTTGAGAATGTTAGAAACGCAGTTTAGGATGAATTTGCGTGAGCCTTTAAACTTTCCTCATTGCTTTGAACTTTCGATCGAAACAATTTTACAACTATCTCCGATGCACGCAGAAAACGTTACGTCGACGTATAACGTGATCCATTCGTATGGCCATAACGTCAGAAACGAGGAAGCGCGAAAGAGCGGTGGAAGAGCATCAGTGAAATTGGATAGTTTATGGTCAGCCGCGTCCGAAACAAACACGCTAGAAACATTATCTCTCCAGAAAACTTCTTACAGGGTAACGACCTTAAAACAATATTATTACCTTAGAATAATAAATTGAAATACAAAATAAGAATTTGTTTGTTTGACGTTTCGTTTTGCAGAAAATCGAGGGCAATAAAAATGTGCCAAATTTGTATCTCTTCGGGCATCTAAAATTCTAATAAGACACCATGTAAATATCTTAGAGTATCGTGAAAGTGCAAACAGTTATGGCAAATATGGCGGCGAAGTAGTAAAAAGCGAATTAAAACTTTTTAACTTCAAACAGAAATGCAAGTGCTATTTTATAAACAAAAGTCGATATTTATATAGCGTGTAGAAGCGTGTTGCTGAAATTGTTAACGATAAAATTCGATAAATTAGGGTAAAGTATTACAATGCCAATATTCCATGAAATACGTCTCTAATTGAATTTTAAGTATTTCACTTACATTTTCTACAACTTTCCCATTACATTTACCACAGATGATATCGTACTTACAGAACAATGTTATATTAGAGTTTCAGGTGTGCAAAGAAGTACAAATTTGGCATTCCCTCACCATCCTCCTTTGACATTGCCGATCGAGTTGCTTTTGTGCACAGTCTGTTCTTCAATCAGTCATGCCACGTATCTTAAACTCTCTGCCAACAACGCATTGAAGAATCTTAAGAGTTGCCTGTAACGAAAGTAACTGCCTTCTTCGATGATATTTCTCTTCCTCGAGCATTTTCAAATATCCATCCTACGATGATAACCGTGTTGTACGACTTTCATTAAAGGTGGCTGCTCGTCACTGGGAACTCGAGATTATTCCAAACTATGTATAACACGCTGTCAACCCCGTAATCCAGCCGTGCAACTTTCGTTGACAGTAAAATCGACGTGCCATAAACTCGTTTCAAACTGTTCTGTCTTAAGACAGTTCTAAAGACGAGGGCGGCGTTAGCCGAGGTAATGAAGCGGTGAAGTGCTTTTCCTCAAGCTCGAAGACTGAGAAGACATTTATCACGTTCTAGACGTTCGTTCTAGACGTTCACGCTGCATCGTGCTCCCCTTTAACAATAGTTCCCTGTATCTACTGTATACATTAGTTAGAGAGAAGAATACATTAGTCGCGAACAATACATTAGTTAGAGAGAAGATGGTACGGGCTAATGAAAAGAACATTTGGTAATAGCGAGCAGTTTGCACGATATCAATATCGTTCTTCCTTTCTATTGTTCAAACTTTAGTACGTTGCGAGAGGCTACCTAAAAAGCTGCAGTATCGTAAAAAAATGTCTCACACAATTATAGATATTATTATCGCGCGAGAAAACTGCTCAGGACAAAGTTAAACCATTTCGAGTGGTACATGTATCGGTGGGAAGAATGTCTTTCTCAAGGTCATTTCTCTATGACGATTTTAGAGTCACCGATATATTTTTTAATGGAACCCCATATTTCGATACGTTTTCTTATCCTCTGTACAAAAGTATCGAGCTACTTGCCAGATTATTAAGTTCGAGGAACAATTTGCGGAATCATTCTTTGAGATTATGAGAACACACGGTGATACGGAATCAAGAGACGAGGCTCTCTGCAAATAGATAATTTTCCTTTTCTTTGTTAAATCGTTCTATGTAAGGTCTCTTGGTTTACGATCATTCGGAATAAAAGCTAATACAAATCCGATAGCAGTATCGCGTTACAGTTAGCGGAGACTGGCGACGAGAACTGGGAAAACGGTATAGGTGAATTTTAGCGTGTTTCGTTTCACAGTTTCGTGCGTGCATCCGTCACGGCTCAAAATTGTTTAGAGCTTAGAAAACGTTGGCGCAGCGTTCTCGCGTGATTTTCGCGCCTTTGTCCCGAGCCGTTGTGATCTACGGGCAATCAGAAATCGGAAGCGGAAAGGAGAGGAGTCATACTTTAAGATTTACGGACTCTTTCTTTTCCAAACGATCACGCGCGTACACGCTGTACCCGGTAAAAATCGTCGAAGCTCGTGAGAATCCACCAATACGTCGTAAACGCTCCGTTTGATCGAATCGAACGCTTGTATTTACTTATTTCGGCCTGACGGGAATTGAACTTGGCTTTACGCACTTCGTAAGCGTACGACGAAACTACATCCGAAGCTGATAACCGGTGTAGCATAAATGTAAATTTCGAGAACCTTTGGAACAACTTGATCGCGCAGGCCAATTTTTGCTTCTTCGATTACGCGAGTAAATTGGACATTTTTGTTCAAAGGCCTAGATAGTTCAAGGTCAAATTTGGATTACGGGCATAGAAGTAGCGTGTAAGTAATTAGTATAATCATCCGACAACACTATTCTCAGTAACACGATATGGTTAATACGATCGATTTAATTGGTCTATGGATGATATACGATACGAAAAAGGTACACAATGCGTACGATTTATTAATGAGGTGTCATCGAGTAATACACGTATGTATATTTATTCACGTTGTTCCAAATATCTTACAGCGGCGGTCTGTATATACGTGTAGCACGAATATATTTCATGCTTATGGAGGAAGTAATAATTGTTTATCATGGAACATAAATTCGCCTGTATCGTAACGAATACCGCACTCTGACGAAATTATGAGCTTCTATAATTTCTGGCCACGTCTTTCTATTTTGCCAAGGTTGCTGGCAATTTTTCGAAACAGGATAATAATACAAATATGGCATTTTTACACCACAGAGTTCTTAGAACGACGCCTTGTTAGAATTTTAGGCGCCTCGAGGGACACAAATTTTGCATCTCTTCGTCATCCTCCATCATCAGGTACTGAAACACTGTTAATCGTTGTCCTAATTGTTATCAATCATACTACGACATACATTTCAAACTTCTCTGTCAAATATCTCTAAATTTTTCAGCGAGAGAAAACAGCAACAAGGAACAGCTCTTCTATGAGAAAAAGATTTTATCTTTATTCGTGGTAGCGTCTAGTAAGGTGGAATTCGCGCGGGTTCTCCCGCTTTGGTCCTATGTAGCTTTCCTATTGAATGTTTGATAAGAAAGCCGAGCAGCTTGCGACCATTTCAATACGTATATACACGTATCGGGGAAATACGTGAGAAATGGTTCTATTCAGCGTGGCAACGTCAGAGAAACGTGTTACCAGTGTTTGAAAACCTGCACGATCCGGTTTCGAGGCGAGCAAAGGGGAAAATGGAATTCGCCGGAAACGAGAAGCATTCGTGAGATTCGACGGAACGAAAAGGTGGCCAGAGTGACGTGTTCTTCTTTCGATTTTCGATTTCAGAAGCTTCCACGCCCGCTGCAAGTTACTTCTATAGGAGTTGTAAGACCCGACCAAGTTGTTCAGTGGGGACAGAGTTTTATTGTTCGAGCTTTGAGATTGTTATTTGTTGGAAGGAAATGTGAGATAATGTCCTTTTCTTTTCATGGAATAAATTCGCCTGAAATTTCTCTAAAGAATAAATTACCACTGTCCGGTGGATTTTGCTTGAAATCGAACTTACGAGCTTCCATCCAAAGTTTCATGAAATTAAGCAGAATCTTATGAATCACATAAGTAATTATAAAACACCAGCGTATTTGTCGTAAATAAAATACAAACAATCGTTTGTTATGCAGAACGTCTCGGCTGAATGAGTCAATTGTTTCATACGATCGTAAACAAAGCAGACATCTAGCTGATCTCATCTAGCCGAGACACCCTGTACTTCAAAATCTCTTTGTACGTATAATATTAGGTCGTCCGACGAGTTGCTTTCGTTTTATACAGAAACGATGGATGCACAACATTTTCGATTTTATATTATTTTATCGAATTGCGTATGATCCATTTTGTTCCATCAAAATAAAGATCATAAGATTCGACAGATTAGGTTTCATGTTTGTATAAAGATGCCTCTGTAAAAGAAAGACACTTTTCGGACAACCTGATAACTGGCGATGGCCAGGCTTCGACGTGCCGAAGTTGCTCTCCCACTTGTGTTTTCTTTCAATAAAGCGCGAACATATCGGAAAGGATTGGAAACTCTTCAGCGCAGTGATACTATAGCTTAAAAGTCACTTGCGCCACGTTTGCAATCGTCTTCCCTTGATGCGATATAAAAATTTGGTCGATGCCACGAAATTTCCGACGATGCTGCAATTACATAATTCTTTCGTCCTACGCGCGTTTCCATGGCGGAACGATCGTTCATTTATTTATTCGAAAGCAATAATTAGAATCTCGTGGTTTCGCCTCGGATCCGTTTATGCGGACTTGTTACCTCGTACGAGTCTCCTGTATACGCGCTACACGTCGTATATACGTACCATATGTGCATATTGGTTTCTGGTTTGTCGGGTCAAAAGTTCAGAGGTTCACTCGCAGCTTGCATGTGTTGCAACTGAATTAGTTGCAACTATAAATACAGCCGGCAAGAAAAACGCTTGTAGCTTTTATTATTCCATTCTGTGCACTACTTTCTGCGTTCGTTCTCTTCGTTGCGCTTCTAAAAGAGTATTTTGTAAAGGAGAACAATAAAATCGTTCCACTCGAGATATAGCGTCTCTTATTAACACGAGGACACCAACGTGTCGCTCTTGATCTACGATTATACGAACCATTTATCGTAGCTTGAAAACACGCGAACAATTTCTTCCCAACGATATCGTCCGACCGTACAATAGATTTTTAACATATTCCAGTTGGTTGGAATATTTCGATGATTTTTCTTCGTTGATTTATTCCTCGTTAAAAACGGATTATACTTTTGCGATTAAACGAAATGTTTTTCGTGTTTTCCAAACTTGCTTGTCTTTCTGTAAATTTAGTTAAACCGCCCAAATCAGATTATCTTCTTATTGTTAAACGAAACGTTTTTCGTGCTTCAATTAATAAATACCTCGTTGCCTTTTTACGTATCTACCTCGCGTTAAATCGTTAAAATTAAAAACCAGATTACTCTCGTTTTAAATGAATCGCTTTTTACAATCTTCTGTTTCGTTTATTCGCTCGTTGCAAACGCATCATCGTTGTTACCATTTTGTTCCTTCGATAGGAAACGTTTCTTGCGAATTAGTTTCTAGATATTCGCATCAAGTATCAATGTAACTTGAAAAGTAGCGATATAAAATTGTACAGCTTCATTTTCCTCTCGAGTTTCCAAGCTGAAAAATCTTCTCCTCGTTAGAGTTCCCCCGTCACCGAAACATTTCCACCGGCGAAACTTATCTCATGGGAACGATGTTCTCGTAAAAACATCGCGCTAATTGCATACCATCGTTGCAGTTAACTGATGAAAAAGGTTGGTTCTTTAAATTCTTCAACAGAGTTAAAGTGCTTTGGAGCTTCCTGTCGCTAATAGGAGGAATATTTCTTAAAACATTCCAAACGTTCCATCACAGTTGAGCCACAGAAACGCAAAAATCCTTTTCTAATTGGAACAGTTTTGAAGATCAGACGAGGTTCACGCGGAACTGTTTTCTCATTTTAACGAAATTTTCTCAGTAGAGAGTTGTATGTTCTAGCGGATTGTCAGTTAAAAATAACCAAAGACTATTCTGCGTAGATCTTAGAATTCACAACGTTACTTGGCTATCCCAATAAACTTTCATCAGCCAAGAGTATTTGTAATGAAAGGTACACAGGTGAAATGAAAACCTACAGCAGCGTTGGGATTGTGATTTCAAGGGATCATAAACTACTTTACGCAAATATGAAACGACAAAACATTTCTGTAAACCACCCAGATATTAACACAGATATTGCAACGCTCTTTCATCGTTCTACGTTCGTTAGACACGAAACGTGTAAACGCAACGTGGCACGAACTTACTTGGTGACCTAATATTGCCATATAGAATCTGTCAGTGACTTGACAATCTTTCACCCGAAGCTACGTGTGTATTTTTATTATTATTCAAAGATGGTAGAAGATTCGAGGAATGTTTCTACGAGACTAGTTCAGCTCTTTGACTGACGGTCTAATAAAATCTCAAATTCCAGAAAAAAAGATTATATCTTTTTATGTTCTAGAATATTTGCGTTTGTGATAAAATGTGCGAGAGAACATCTACTTTGGAATAATAGCAAATTTTCGCCGACGCAGAGATTTTCTTTCATCGCAATTGCTGACAGGAATTCTGTAAATTCAGTAAAATCTGAATAGCGCGGTACAGTAGCGTATGGGGAGCAAATTGGAAACGATTTAACATGAACTAATTAATTTCTGAATTAATTTCAATTATACATGTATGTCTCGGCGTAATTAAATTAAATTGTAGGTATTCCTGGAATTAATAAACAGCGGTTCTATTTCAATGACCAGCAACTGAAATTACTGCGTGACACTTAGCCTGCTGGAATAGCGGAAGAAGAAACATAGAACGAACTTGTATATTTCATATTTCTGAGTTGCCGCCTGTAAAACGAATACGATACGTGGGTAATGGAAAATTAGGAAAACGACAAGGTATTGGAGCCCGGATTGCAACATGGAGCCATGTAACCCGTGTTTCTAAATTTATCACGTACGGCGTAATTATTGAAAAAGCGCTTTTAGAATACGTTTCATAAATCTCTTGCCATGTGCGTTAGTATTTTAGAAAGCGAAAGATCATGTACGTATTTTTGACTGGAATTTGTAATTTTATTAGACTATGAAGTTAATGCTTATATATAAACACTAATACATTAGTATCACAAAAGAAAGACATAATCTACAATGTATTATAAATTGAAAACATGAAAATATTTCTCTATATACCGACATAAAGATAACTTATACACTACAAAGAATCTGTAAACTTCATTCTAAACTCGGCGTTTTCTCCGCAAATAGCTCGGCTCTCGGATGAAATTCGTTTCAAGCAATTTTAAGATGCCTCTATGCTCCGCCTCGGTTCTCGATCCATTTTCATCGATTCGGTAGTCTCTGAAAGCAGAAGAGCCCGTATCCTTTCACGGTTCAGCTTCCATAGACATTTCAATCAGGCTCAGTTTTATACTGCTCAATTTTAATGGATTTCAAGTGCCGTGAAATGTTCCAAAGAACCCGGTTCAACGGCTGTTCCGCCGTGTTCGAGGGGTTCTTGTTGCTGACGTGAAGTGTTCACCCTTGCGATGACCTGTTTCGTCCAATGCACCCCCGGGGGAAACGCTTATGTTAGCCTAGATACCGTTGATAATTAAGGAATATTAAGTTTCTTTCCAGCATCGTGAAAGCAGTGATTACACGGACGTTGTAGATGGGTTAAGTTTCGTGTCTTTAGAATCCCTTTTCCTCTTATCTTACACAGTTACTCGCATTAATATTTAAGCATAGCTCTATCTCTGTATTTATTATTCGTGCAAAAGACGATGATTTAAATATCGTATCGCGTATTTTAAAGGCGAGAAAAGAGATTTTATTACTAGAATAATTAGTATACTCAAGTCAGATGATATATAACAATGAGTATAGTACGATATAATTAAAGAAGAGCCACTGTACAATATTACAAGTATTATAGTTTATGTTTGTGCATATCACATTATTGTATATTATACTCTATATACTGTATTATATTGTATATTATTACTGTATATGCAATGTAATGTTTAATGTATGTTTTAAGGTCAAGGAACCTCCCTCTAATGGACGTAAAGTCTGATATATGATAAAGTATTATTACCATTACTGTTACTATTTTATGAAAACATCAACCATTTATCGTAGCTTGGAAATATGTAAGTTTTCCAACAATAATATTTAATGGTACAGTAGATTTTTAACCAAGAAAAGGTTTTAACTAAAAGGCTCCTTCCGATCTTACCTTAACTCTCTTCTATTTCCCTTTTCTTCTTCTTCTTCTTCCTCTTTATTCCTAATTGCGATACGGCCTTTTTCTTCATATAGGTGTACAGCAATGTCTCGATAATTGCTTGAAAATCGGGATCCACGCCCAGCAATTATCGCGTACAGGACTTGGTTCTAAGTATAGATACGGCCCGGTGTTTCGCCGAACGTAAGGAAGAATAGCGCGAGTGAAAGAGAAACAGGTCTGCGAGTCGGCTTGATGAAAAGAAACATATCGTTTAAGCAATACTTATTGAACGATGAGACATTTTATTTCTAATTTTCGTTGAATAAAATTTTTATAAATGCAGTCGTGAGATTCTTCTGGTTAAAGCAAAACCAAACACTATATAATTTGAAGCACATCTGCTTATTTAACCAGTTAGCTGTTTTATGACGAATATACTCGTCACGAGGAAATGGCAATATTTTGTGTTATGAAGAGCCCTGTCAGTAATAGAATTAAAAGATAAAACAGTCGTTTCATCACAACTTAATTGTATATTATAACAGTCACGCATACTCTGTGTTTGACGAGTATACTCGTCCTTGCTTTCTTTTAACGACACATTTTAGGTACACGCTTTTCAATGAGTTGAAATAAAACAAAACACTATATAATTCGAAGCATATCTGCTTATTTAGCCAGTTAGCTGTTTTATGACGAGTATACTCGTCACGAGGAAATGGCAATATTTTGTGTTATGACGAGCCCTGTCAGTAATAGAATTAAAAGATAAAACAGTCGTTTCATCACAACTTAATTGTATATTATAACAGTCACGCATACTCTGTGTTTGACGAGTATACTCGTCTTTCTTTTAGCGACACATTTTAGGTACTCGCATTTCAACGAGGTCGCAGCAGCTAACTAGTTAATGACGCTAACTTATTTTCTTTCGCCTATTAAATATATAGGTAAATGTGATTTAAAGTATATCGTGTTTGGTGTTACTTTAATCAGAAAGATCTCACAAAGACGTTGGTAAAAGTTTAATTCACAAAGTTTTGAAAATACAACATTTTCATTATCGGATTAATATCGTCTCGTGAGTGCTTGAATTCGTATTAAGTTACACTACTCGCTCCTCGAGTTTCGTGGTGTATCAAGGGGAAGACTATGGCTCCTTGAGCGACAATAGGGCTCCTATAGCGATGGAGATGACAACCAGGTAATTGCGAGGAACGTCATGGCCGATAATTATCGAGACATTACTGTATTTTGTTTTGCTTAAATTTCGCTCCTGTTCCTCCGATACTTAAATCTTTTGTCACGAACAACTTATGCGTATCTCGGGATTCTATTTTATTTCAGAAGCAAAATATGAAAGACGGATACAGAGACGATGGAAGATAAATATACCTTGGCGTATCATATAAATGACGTTTCGTGTTCACAAAGTTTAGCAAATATTTTTCATATACTTTACAGTTATCAGGAAATTTCCTGCGGATATTCCGCGACATACGTACAAACGTTTCAACGTTAAAACCTTCGTGCATTTTATCGTAATATCGTCGCGACAGCGATTAATAAATTATATCCCTTGCTATATTTCAACATTTTTGAAAATTTTATAACGCGGATAAAAGCGTTATACAGAAACCCATTAAACACTTTGCACGTTACATGTATTTTCAACGTAAGAGAAGCTTCTGAAAATATTGTAAAAATAGTTTAAGTAAACTGTACAAACTTACCTAACAAGGTTTTAAACTAAAATCTATTTCTTTTTTTTTCAATTTTCAGCTGTTGAATTTAAAATAATTCTAAACTTCTAAATCATAGCGTACATAGCTCACATACGATAGGAGATTATGTTTCTTACTTAACTACACGCTATCGATATGATTGGGCTATATATCATCAGATCTGTACACTGCAGCCATATATCACGGAAGGTGTATACGTCGAGCGTAGATATCGGTGCTATTTCCACTTAACGAGTGCAGTGAAAAATATGCCATCATTATTTGAAACTTAAAAGGTGCTTTTAACTTTTCATATCTCCGCGGAGACGAGGATAGCGAATGGCACGCTGGCTATAAAATATGGAAAGTAAGCGACGTGTAACCGATGGAAACAGGCTACGAGACGAAAGAAACACGTTCTCCGGTGAATTTTGTTGAAATTAATACGCAGATTGATCTGCCGCGTTCGCTGGGGAAATGCGCGATATTTGGGTCACTGATTTCGTGCAGATCGGCCACGTGTTTACGAGTATGTTAATAGAGTCAGCTTTATGCATTTATGTTGAAATGTAAAATTCCACGAGCGGACCGACTAATCAAAGTGGTCGTTCAAGTCTGTTACACTAGGATTTATAAAGGTGTAAATTAAAAAATCCAGCGTAGAAATACGAAACGACAACGTATATAATTCGATTGCGAAACGTCGGATAAATTCTCTGCACCGACGTATCGTTAAATGATTTGCGTGCTTGATTTAAATTCCAATTGAAACTTAAATATGTTACACGAGATTTCGCTGGTTGTTATAGCATTCTGCGTGGTAATATCAGGCTAGCTTTATTGATGTTAAGTGCACTATATGCAAGCCCGCTGCAATCCGGTGTAGAAAACGCTCTTCAGCCTGGCAACGAATTTCTCGCGTTATCGATTGCGCCTTGAAATTAAAGCCTTTGTCCTGCATGGTGCGTCACGGTGAAACCATAATTAAGTGAAATTGCGGCCTAGTGTGGGTGCGTGTGGCCATAATAAAAGAACAAAAATACACAGTCGGTCACGAAAGTCTATCTGTTGTTACGCAAGTCTCTACGTGCGTGTCATCCATCGAATTTTGCGTATCTGACTTATCAGAGAGATTAGAAACGCGCGCTTTCTCGCAAAATCATTTCTATCTACCTAAAGGTACGAACGAGTATAATTTCGCCTGATCAAACTTGATTCTTAAAAGAGGCGTTTGATTTTGTTGCGAGAAGGAACCAGAGGCTGGCTTATGGAGAATCATTGTACGTGTTGTGTCATTGTCATTGCACGATTACCATCCTATCAAGGAGTAGGAGGCAATGAATTAGCAGAAGCCAGGCGTCGATGAACAAACAGTGAAGCGAGTAGAGTCGCGGTATACGAAGATATCGCGAAAGACGTGACGAAAATAATCAAAGAAAAAGAGAAACACGACTCGCTGGAAAAAGGGAAGATAAACGAACGTGGACAAAATCATGGGCAATGTAAATAAGAAAAGACGGAAACGTGTTTTGGGTAGAGGAGAACAAACGATTGTAACACGACTTCCAATAGGACACACAAGAATAACACGCTTGTACTTAATGGAACAAAAGGATCCACCAAGATGCGAAACTTGCCACGTTCCACTGGCGATCGAACGTATAATTGTCCAGTGCGGAAAATATACAGGGTAATGGAGATAGTATACAACTACTGCTTTTTATCATTAGTTTTCTGTTTTTTCTTCAGTATTAACAATTTATTAACGACATTAAATTTAACGTATGGACGTATACAGGGTGGTTGGTAACTGGTGGTACAAGCCGAAAGGGGGTGATTCTACGCGAAAAAAGCAGTCGAAAATGTGGAATAAAAATTTTTCCTTCGAGGCTTTGTTTTCGAGAAAATCGACTTTGAATTTTCGCTCGGTACGCGTGCTGTACGTTATAACGGATCTCACTGTAGTTCGTTGTCTCGATGGAAAAATAAAAAAAAAAATTTGTATTCTATATCTTCGACTTCTTTTTTCGCGTAGAATCACCCTGTAGAAATCACCGAGATGCCTAACAAGGCAAATAAGATCAAGAACAAATTTAACAAATCGAATTTGACACTTTAACGACTGATAGCCGATTAATCGGCTTTTGTCGCCAACGCTTACCGATCGATAGCCTATTAATCGGCTTTTGTCGCCAACGCTTACCGACGGACAGCCTATTAATCGGCTTTTTGTCGCCAACAATCTTTCTCATTATTTGAGCAGTTATTTGTTATTTAGTACTAAGATACCTTGCTCGGCTACGTCAGTTGCGTTGCTTTGTAAGCTCCCACGGTTTTATACCAATTTGAAAAACATACCGTTCGCGATAAACGAAAAGAATGGTATTGGAGAGTCTAAAGCGAAACAGACCCGGCGCCAGGGGAATCTGCGGCTGAGCTGCCGGTCGGACGTGCGTATGCTGTTGAACCGCTAGCGGTCGGTTAAGTGTTAAAGTACCAAAGATGCGGTTAATGATCATAAACGGTGGATGCGATTTAAATAGGCAGAACAAATATTTTCATATTGGAAAAAAAGGAAAAAAATGGAACAAAAGGAAGGTTTCGAAACGACAGGATTATTCCGTCGATTGGAGAGAATAATTGAAGTTATCTGCGCTGGTTGATTGGCATCCGGTAACAAATTCCACTGACGACGAAAACAGCCTGGTTTTCAATAATTGGCACGAAGAAGTAAAAATAAAAGGCTGCTGGATCGACGATACTGTGATTCGTTGAAAAGAGAACGAAACGGCGATCGAACGATCCGTGAATTAGCAGCGAAATGCTTGCACAACATTTCTATTCAGTGTGGTTGCAGCTTGTGCTCAATCGATTTATATTTGATTCGTAGCAACCTGCCGGAAAATGCGGTCTCCATTGAAAAACAGTTAGAGGAGAATACGCTCGTTTTTATCTTTTATCATCGCGTTCGTATTTCCATGCGCCGCGGCTGGATTGATCGAGGAAACTTTCAAGGGAAATTACACAGTATAATGGATAAATTGAGGGATAGATAGGGCTGGAATTCGACGGGAGGCGAAGCAGGCGACAAAGATATGAAAGTTTAAACGGTGATCGATATTTTAAATCGACCATTTATACTGCTTCGCGAAAGTGCTTAAACGCTTACGATTAGGCTGCTGATTTTCATGCGTTTACGATAACAAGATTCAACAATTCACGGAATGTGCTACGGGACAGCTGATTTTAAAAGCTTCCACAGAAAGAGCAACATGCTTTCTTTTCTTCGATCAGACTATCGTCGAAACGCGATAAAATCGGTAGACACTGTACGTGTTAATAGACGACTATGCGAAAGATCAAGCGTCTCGAAGTTATGGTAAAAAGTTATAACGAACGTGCACCTGGAAAAATAGCGAAAGCAAAGAAATCTCAAGAATCTTTGTTTTTACTACGACGAACGCATAGTTGTTTCGATTAAAAAAAAAAAAGACGCGATATTATGTTTATTTAAATGAAAAATAACAAAGAAATATTTCCTATCGTAATATATTTGTCGGAGATGAAGGGAAAACCGGAGTCTTCCCTTTGCAATTTTGGGAAAGTCTTCTAATGCTTTAGCCTAGATTTTATCGTAGCTGTAATTAAGCAATTGTTGTCATTTGTAATTGTTCGATATTTGTGATAGCGAAAGTGGGTTCGAGGTGACAACTAGTCGCCGAACGTAGCCACGGTCACGGGATAAACGTTTTGCCTGACGAAGGTGTGGATCGGTTGTATAGTTCTCCCTAGAAATCACATAGAATTGTACTTTGGAGATGTCGATATAATGGGACACACGTTGTATTAGGAATCAAACTCCAGACAGAAACTGCCTAGCAACGGCGTTTGGATCTTTCTCGATGCTTCCACACGAACTATGCACTATGGAAGAAAGTGCTTTCAGAAATGCGTTCATGACAAAAGACACGCTGGCAAAAATATACTGTATTCTGTTGAGGTTGACTGGTAGAAGAAGAAGTGGATAAATTTGTAATAGAAAAATATATTTAAATAAATACAGGTATAAGTATAAGTATAATGTATAAGTATAAGTTTCTGCTGATTCAGATCCTTACTGTCTTAGTGTCACTATACAATAGAATCGATAGGGAGCACGTTCATTTATAGCAAAAGGACATTACCAAGAAAATTAACCTTATAGTTTTGACGAAAAGCTACAAGGAACAGAAATAGAAATCTATTTATTAGTTCCTTTGTTCCTAGACCTCGTAACCCAAAACAAATGTATATTCAAGGGAACAATAATATGCACCTCTTCTTATTTAGAATTATTTTGTTTCACTAAATTCTATTTTCTGCGTAATGCACGTCTCTAGGTCACGGATATACATAAATAAAGATGTAGAGCTTTCTTGAATTAGTTACTTCAACATATTCAAAGGGAATAACTTAAATATAGACGAACAAATAAATATTTTCTCAAATAAGAAAAAAATTCAACGACCTTTTTGATCGCGCTTCGTATGAGGGGGAGGGGGTAAAAAAAGAGGAAAGTAAAAAATTATATGCAGCTTGGTAGAGGTTTAGAAGAAAAGTCTGAGAAAATTGTCTGAAATAAAATGTGATGGTTAAGAAAAGAGTGGGACATGAAAAATGTTATATAAAATATACTTTATATATTCTATTTTGATTCATATATGTCGGAGATGAAAGGAAAACCGGAGCCTTCCCTTTGCAATTTTGAGGAAGTCTTCTAATGCTTTAGCCTAGATTTTATCATAGCTGTAATTAAGCAATTGTCATTTGTAATTGCTTGATATTTGTGAAAGCGAAAGTGGTTTCGAGGTGACAACTGGTCGCCGAACGTAGCCACGGTCACGGGATAAACGTTTTGCCTGACGAAGGTGTGGATCGGTTGTATAGTTCTCCCTAGAAATCACATAGAATTGTACTTTGGAGATGTCGATATAATGGGACACACGTTGTATTAGGAATCAAACTCCAGACAGAAACTGCCTAGCAACGGCGTTTGGATCTTTCTCGATGCTTCCAAAGAGTATACAACAAACTTTTGACAGAAACTGCCTAGCAACGACGATTGGAACCTTCTCGATGCCTCCAACGAGCATATAACAAAGAAAACGCAGTCGTACAGCGAAAAAGATTTTCATCGGATATTCGTTCGTGTGATCGCCTTGGAAAGTGATACATCGAGCAATTTACCGAGTGTCTCGGCAATCGTATTTTTTTGTGTTTAAAATTATTCTACGCATAGTAAAGAGTTATCCCGTTGACCGTGGATTCGTTTGAACCCCGGAACATTGTTAATAGCGTTAATTAAATTGGTTATTCGTAAAACCTATTAATCGTTAATCTCATTATTCGTTAAATTTATTATTCGTAAAACATATTATTCGTTACTCTTATTATTCGTTAAACTTATTATTCTTTAATCTAATCATTAGTTAAACTTATCGTTCGTTAATCTTATCGTTCATTAAACTCAATATTCATAATATTTTGTAAAATCTTGTATATTCGCGTAAATATAATCTCTGTTTCGTAAAACGATGGCTAATTCAAACGAAGAATCGTTACGCGCCTTAAATTCTAATGTTAACCCGACATGTTAATTTTCTTTGTTTTCTACACGTTGAACGTGTGAATGATGCACATAAAGCAGATTCTTCGTGATCCCAAGGAAAACAGCGAATACATCGGACACATTTTTTATTATCGTTGTCTCCTTTGTAATCGTCGCCACGATATATGTAGTTCCGTATCATCGTCGTCGCCCAATAACAGCATCATCGACATGCTGCATATTGCTCGAACAAGTTGCAATTGCATTAAGAAGGAAATAAAATCAACGGTAGGTCTCTTTCGACCACTCGGAAACAAACACGTTCAACGATAAATCGTGGAAAAGTAATATTTTTCAATTTATCTTCGCTAGAACATTTCGCCATTTAAATATCGCCTATCGAAAACTTTTGTAAGCTTTCAGACACAACGATCGACTGCGTTCGACGACAGATTTCCAAGCGAATCTGAAATGCGAATGTGCTTGTCCCTTTATTTTAACGAAATATTTTATTCTGTCGTCGACTGAGTTTCTCGCATACTCGTTCAGTTTCATATTAGGTATGTTGAGAATTGTGGATCTTCGAGGTCGAAATAATGTTATAGGAACACTAAATCTACACTGAGGATTAATAATAAAATAATAATGTATTTATTTCATGGACGATTCCTTATATATTCATCGATACACATTTGCACGCGTCTCAGCATTTTCTCGACTGTAAACCGACTCTTCGACGACCCTTAACCGACTGTGGAGTTTACATTCATCTGTTTTCGAGACGCTTCGGACACACATACTTCCACACACTAATATTCACGTACAAGTATCTCTACTACGCGCTTAACCTAGTCCAGCACAGAAAATTATACATATCTCAACGAGGTACAGTTGTATATGTTATAGAAGAATATGTAAAATATCCAAATTCGAGTAGTTATTAGTAGACTGTGAATTTCCATGGATTTATGGGAAATTTGAAAGTGCGAAATTCCACGGAATGCAGAGAATACGAGGAAATATGTAAAATATATGAAAAACTGAAGTACAGTGCTGTATAATAGCTGGTAGGTGAAACAATTTGTTATCGAGGTTCGATTTTTTTAAATCATACCGTCGAAAACGTGAATTTGCATAAAAGTTGGCGGTGTAGTTATTAGCGAAACCACTTTTATCGATTCGCTAATGGGTCAAAATGACCCGACTGGTGTTTCTAGCGTTAATAAATGTAAACCGATGTTTTGTTCGCTTCTTACGAGCTTTGCTAATACATTGACGAAGTGTTATTTTTTTTACTCGTTTACACAATCGATGAAAATGCTGCAAAGGTATAAATAGAAAGCCATGAACGAAGTATTCGAAACTTGGCTAAACTGTTGTCAAAGAAATGTATTGTTCGAAACTTCTATCTCGCGCTTTTTCAAACTTTCTCCGATGTAGCTTGAAAAAATAAAAAGGAAGGAAGAAAGGAACGAAGTGGGAAGAAGAACAATGAGCCCAGCTAACGGTACTAAGGACGCATTCTACCGAGTTTTCTTTACCCTCTATTTCACAGTTTCTTCGCTTTTCACAGCGTCGACACGCTTTTTATATGGCCCCTTTTGCAGTTGCTTCGCTTTTCTTCATACTTTTCTCATTATTACAGATTCATTGGATTTAATATCTATGTAAAACAAGGTGTTGCATTTTCTGTAATTTCTCAGACAAAAATTAATCGACCTTGCTTTACGTATCTCTTGTAATCTACCTTTCTTCATTTCGCCAACTTGAATGGGACTATTCGAATTCCGAAATTCTCCTCCAAACGAATATTCGCTTTAGAAAAGAGATGGGTACTGTGTACCGTGTAGGTGTAAATTGTCTGGAGTTTTTAACAGTCTTCGCGCAGCCGATTGCGAAAACATTTATTGCTTTCGAGTATTTATAGTTGCTACTATAGATACGTTCGGTTCAATCAACTACGTGAAAAAAGTAAGACGTTACGAAACATCGAGCTACTAAAATTTTAATTATTCTACGATATTCCAGGAATAGATCGCCGTCTCCTTTTTACAGCAAACGTAGTAATATCGTTAATGGACGATACAAAAAACAGTAGTCGTAACGAGACGACAAACTTTCAGAAGATTATCATGATTTTCAATATTTGTAAGTAATGTTTATTAATTAATAATTACTCGTGTTTTCAACGAAATCTCCTTCGGGTCACGAGTGCCGCTGTACAAAGCGTACTCTGCCAGGTACTCCCACTGATATTTTAGATAACTTAAAATCTCTGCCTTAATTCGTTAAAATGTCGAAAAGAAAGAATGGAAAACTTATTTCTTAGCGAGTCAAATAGCAGTGAAGGAGAAAGCTTTTACGAGGCTTACACAAATTCGGATAGCAGCGATAAGGAAGAAATCAGATTTCCTAGAAATAGAAATATAAATAGAATTACATCGTCTGACTCTGATTCGGATATTGATAAGTGCAGTCGTAGTGATAGTGAATATAATGAAGATAGTGTTGACGAGATTTTACAAGAATTGGTCATTGAGGAAGAAAGAAGAACTGACGATACCGGGGAAAGTACAATTCAATTTGGCTAATGGAATGAATTTAGTGGTCGGCAGAAGTCATTTCCTTTTCCTGAGACAGACGGCCTCATTGGGCAATTACCTGGCCATGTCAATCCATATGACGTGTTCGAGCTGTTCGTTGATGACGAAATAATAAACTTACTTGTATCAAATTGTAACAAGGAAGGATGTAAATATTAGAAGATTTAGAGAATTATTAGCTGGAAAATTATTAAGGTTGTCTGAAAATACAAAAAGTCCTCGTCTTCGACGGAGTCAGCATAATATCGCCGTTCGGAAAAATGATTGCAAAAGAAGCATTAGACGCGCGTGCAAACTATGTTATGCAGGTAAAAGACGTCGAACGGACGGATCAAAGACACGGGAGAATTTAAAGAAAACGACAACTTATTGTCGAAATTGTCCCGACCAAACTCAGCTATGTATAGAATGCTTCAAAGTTTAGTTAAACAATTTTCTTAATGAACTCATTACTCGTATTACTTCATTTTCGTATTACTTTTATAACAATTCAATAGTTTTATTACTTCCTGTGGAATATCTTTTCAAATACCTACGACGATCCTTCGCAAGTAATCATCAGCCGAATTCGGGTGACGCGACACCATCGAAAACTTGATTGTCACCCGAATATGGGTGACGCGACACCATCGAAAACTTGGTTGTCACCCGAATATGGGTGACGCGACACCATAGGAAATTTGGTTGTCACCCGAATATGGGCGACGCGACACCATCGGAAATTTGGTTGTCACCCGAATATGGGTGACGCGACACCATCGGAAATTTGGTTGTCACCCGAATATGGGCGACGCGACACCATGGGAAACTTGGTTGTCACCTGAATATGGGCGACGCGATACCATCGAAAACTCGATTGTCACCCGAATATGGGTGACGCGACACCATGGGAAATTTGGTTGTCACCCGAATATGGGGGACACGACACCATCGGAAATTTGGTTGTCATCCGAATATGGGCGACGCGACACCATCGGAAATTTGGTTGTCACCCGAATATGGGTGACGTGGCAGTCAGCGTGTTAAACTATATTGTCTATTAGTGGATCGCATAGATATCTGTGCGGTAACTCAGTCGTGCAATTAAGCATCGATGAAACAACAGAGATATTACTGTTCTTTGAAATGCTGCGAAGCACCAGGAATTTCCGTCTTAACGAGTCACTCGGATGTGAAACGACTCGTTTCCCTTTTTCTTCGTTGAATCTCGTTAATCGATGGATCCGATTAGAACGGATCGATTTAACCTGGTATAATTGTTCGCCAGAACTGCTCGTTAACCAAATTCCCCAGCAATCTTTCATCAGCACCCTCGAGCATAATAGACCGCCGTCTCATCTGACCTGGATTTCCGATCTCAGCGTCACTCGTGTAATCTCTTGTACTCTCGACACTGAGATCTTCTGTCCACATTTCAATTATGCCGTGATAATCATGCTAATGTTCAGTACGTACCGGGCACGTCGTCACACGTCCAAGATTTATCGAAACTAGCGTTTGATACGTAACGCATTCACCGACCAGAGGTCTTTGCAAAATGAATTGAAACGTAGAATGAATTGAAAATGTAACATTACGCGAATCTTATTGCGCGTATGTTTAAAAAAATAAATAATTTACGCACGCTATGCACGAACTCCGCTGCAGGAATTTGTCACACCACGTACTCGTGACATGCTTTTAAAAGCGAGCAGCAATCTTTTTATCTTCAACAAGATACTGCACCTCCCAGCTACGCTCGTGACGCGATGGTCTATCGGATCACGTTGTCTGAATCAGCACGACCATCAATTTGACCACTCGCGTTAACTACAAAAATTCCATGTCTCTCCTCTTGAATTTGCAGTTGGAATCTTACTTCTACCTTGGTCAATGCTAAATTTATCATTCAGAGCGTGTATATACACTTGGTGTATACACTTTGGAACAGTCTGTATCGAATAGAACGACTGTTATCAACATTGAAGACCCACGGTGTTTGGAAGAGTACAAATACTCATAGACCTGTCGGTGTAAATGTACTTTTCCAAACTTCTCCTGGAAGACGATATGGACACTTATTTTTCGTAGAATACGCGTTAGTTAACCTCTTAACCTATAATTACGGGCATAGCCCGTAGTACGATGATCGGGCCAAATATAATGTATAATATAATATATAATAGTTTGTTTACGTTTTCGGCCCAAAATTCTCGAACGTAAATTGTAGGTTAAGGGATTAAATATATTTGGTTGGCAACTAAGTGATTGCGGATTTTGTCATTAGGTGATATTGACAAACTCCGCAATTACTTAGTTGCCAACCCAGTATATTCATGTATGTATATACAGGGTGGTTGGTAACTGGTGGTATGTTCCGTTTTGAATTTTGTAAATATCATTCTTACATTTCTTTTATAATTTTTTTCTCAAAATTTGCCAATTTACATTGAAGGTAAAGTACAGTTATGTTATATATTATGATATATATTGTACAGGGTGGTTGGTAACTGGTGGTACAAGCGGGAAGGGGTTGATTCTGCGCGAAAAAAGAAGTCGAAAATATAGAATAACAATTCTTTTTTTAATTTTTACATCGAGACAACGATCTACAGTGAGATCCGTTATAACGAGACGCGATAAAGTGCGCGCGTACCGAGCGACAATTCACAG